TCGATTTGAAAGACGCATACCTTCAATTTGAAGTGACTCCGGAGTCCAGGAGGTATCTCATAATCGCAACGCACAAGGGATATTATCAATATAACAGAATGCCTTTTGGTATCTCAACAGCCCCATCTATATTTCAACACTATTTGGACCAACTTTTGGAGGGAATACCAAACGTAGCAGTCTATTTTGATGACAACGCTTTAACTGGTCGAAATAATAACGAACACCTACAGACCCTTGCATTGGTCTTTGACAAACTGGAACAAGCGGGATTTAAGGTAAATCTCAAAAAGTGCACATTTTTTAAACAGAAATTGAATACCTAGGCCATACGATAGACAAGAACGGAATACGTCCTACAAAACGAAAACTCGAGGCAATACTAAAAGCGTCACCGCCAACGAACACCAAAGAACTCAGATCTTTCCTCGGATTCATCAACTTTTACGAGAGATTTATTCCACATTTACACTCTATTTGCGCTAATTTACACACGCTTACAGGCAGCAGACAGCGATGGCGTTGGACTGAAGAAGAACAAAAAGCATTTGATAGAACCAAAGCCGCAATATCAAACGCTCAACCTCTAGTAGCCTTCAGCGACAAGCGGCCATTATACCTTGCTTGTGATGCATCAGAAAAAGGAATCGGGGCTGTGTTATATCACAAAAACAGGGATTTAATACAACCCATCGCATTTGCATCAAGGAAACTAAGGGCGCCAGAAAGGAAGTACTCTGTCATTGATAGAGAAGCGCTAGCAATCTTTTTTAGTATCAAAAAATTTGATCAGTATCTTATTAACATAAAATTTACGCTAGTCACAGATCACAAACCTCTGATTCACCTACTTGGAACGCAACGAAACCTGCCAAAACTCGTCAATAACCGTCTAGTAAGGTGGGCACTGCTTATCGGGAGCTACCAATATGACATCACGTATACAAGAGGTGGCAATAACTTTCTGGCTGATTTCCTGTCACGCATGCCGAGCTCCGAGGAGCAACCTTCGAAAGCTGAACAGAACGTACATCGTATCGAAGCTCGGCACAACACCGTCAAAATTATTGACCTTGCCTTAACGGAGGATACAAGTCTTACAGCATATTAAGGATGGGTGGAGAGAACAAAATTCCAATGACCTTAAGCCTTTCTTACGAAAACGCAGTGAGCTGTCAGAAGAAAGTCGGATCATCATGTGGCAAGGCCGAATTGTTATACCAGGGTCCCTACATAGGGAAGTATTAAAAGTTTTACACAGAGGCCATCCAGGAACGCCGGCAATGAAGGCCCTTGCGAGATTTCACGTATGGTGGCCGTCAATCGATGAAGAGATCGAGGCATACGTAAAGCGTTGCCGCAAATGCCAAGAGAACAGACTCAACAACCCGGAACTGCCAGTGTATTCGTGGTCTGTACCGGATAGAGTCTGGGAAAGAATACATCTGGATTTTGCTGGACCATTTGAGGGTAAATTTTGGCTCGTGTTAGCGGACGCTCTGTCAAAGTGGATTGAAGTAAAGCCAATGACGAGAACAACAACAGCACATATATGTCAAGAATTGGACGATATTTTTACAATTTTCGGACTGCCACAGTTTATTATGTCTGATAATGGACCACAGTTTATTTCGCAACAGTTTCAAAGTTTTTGTAAGGAACGAGGCATCATTCACATGCGATCCTCCCCGTACCATCCTCGTACGAACGGATTAGCCGAGAGATTAGTGCGTACGTTCAAAAGCAGAATGTCGTCGAGCACTAATGAGTCTGATGGTTTAAGGGCTCGGTTAAACAAGTTTTCGCTGTCTTATCGCACGACCCCACATTCAACAACCGGGAAAACACCGGCACAACTGATGTTTGGTCGACAGATTCACACCGTTTTGGATAACATTCGTCCTAGTGGTAAACGAGATCTACAGTATAGGCAAATTAAAGCGAACATTGAAGCCGATGGGAAGAACAAAATATTTGATGTTGGAGTGACGGTTTATTGTCGTAACAGAGATAAACCAGGGTGGAAACCGGCATCTGTTGTGCGCCGGACTGGCCGATATTCATATATTGTTAACACTGACGACGGTACACAGCATCGTTATCACGCTGACCAGATAAGATCGCGTTTGACCACATTGGATAACGCGAATGCAGAGACTGGAGACAATCAAGAGCATACAGAGAGCATATCCTCACCGGCTCTTGTTTTGACACCGCCGTCAGAGATTGATGCACAGCTGGACGTGACACAAACTGCAGCATCAGTACCAATCCCTAATAATTCAATCACGCCCACTGCTGCACGGATGACACCCAATACACCGATTCGTCCAGGTACCCCACTGCGTCGCAGTACTAGGATGAGATGCGCGCCACGGTGGCTGATTGCAGAAATGTCTTAAAGAAGAACGGGCGGGACGAATGTTGTAGACTCCTTTCGTAAACCATAGTGTATGCCTGTATTAGTTAACCTTGAGTGATGTTGTCATTTTGTCAAATTAATTAAATTATATTTTCCAACTGAAAAGCATGTTATTTCGTATTATTTAAGGTAGGGTACCCTAGGACTTGCCTCCTGCAGAAGCACAAGCCCTCCTCTTTTTATATTGTTATAATTATGTCAATGCCACAGGCGTTTCACGCCCATACTCTCCGGCGCTTTCGCCGTGTGAGAGAGTATTTCTTTACCTCTTTTTATATTGTTATAATTATGTCAATGCTACAGGCGTTTCACGCCCATACTCTCCGGCGCTTTCAACGTGTGAGAGAGTATCTCTTTACCGTGCCGGTACCCACAGGTACATAGGTTAATATCAAGTGCGCAGGTAAGCGCTTATTTTTACACATACAAACTTTTCATGAGATGCAAACCGGCTATCATTTATGTGAACTATTCTACTACTTAGCTTTCGTTATATTCCGTTGGTTCTCGAGATCGTAGACAGGCACGCATCAGGTAGGCACATTTTTATGGCACATAACAGTTATTAAATATTAGTACAAGGTAATAATAGTATATTAGTTAAAATAGCACAACAAACAAGAAGAGAAAAAAGAGCGGCTTACTTGACATTGACATTAGTTATAGCGGCAATTGATATGTGTTGCCACCTCAAACATCGCGACTGGTGTTGCCGTCGCGACACCAGCCTTAAACAGAGGGATAACTTTAGCACATTCATTAGATCTGGAAACACTCCCTCATCGATACATTTGTTAAATATAATAGTTGAGGTGAAATGACAGTCATAATTGGTTTTGATTATATGTGTTAATATTCCCCAAAAATCATATACTAAGATTAAAACAAAAAGGGAAGATTCCAACATTCAACTCGCGGTTCAAAAGTGTACAATTCGCTTTAGTTACAATTGGACAATCAAACATGCTGTAAGTGCATCCAATATAACAATATTGCGTATATTCTGAGTGAAAAGCGATGTGGACTCGCCATTTCGCTCGCGCTGCATTGAAGCGTGCAGTTCTGTCTCGCTCGCTCGATTGAATGTTTATTTACAGTAGCGTGCGTATGTGTTGAGTCGGAGCATATTTTGTTTGATGCTAGTAAAGCGTACCGCATCTCTCCTTTTTGTTTTATCTAAGTACATATAATTTGGAAGAGCTCGATGGCGCAAGTGGTTAGCGTGTTCGAATGCGGTCGTTGAATTAAGCAACTTTCGCAGTGGTCGGTTATTGGATGGGTGAGCAAAATATACCTACTTACTCGAGCTCCTCCGTGCTTCGGAAGGCACCTTAAGCCGTCGGTCCCGACTGCAACTGCAGTCGTTAGCACCCACCGATCCGCTTCAGGCCCGCGTGGTGGATCTTGGTCGCCTTATTCATTCAGGAAATCATAAGAATTTGATCAAAATTATTTGTAGTTTGCATAAATAGGACTTCAATCCGGTAGAATATCGCCATATTGTGTATTGGAAACTTCCCGAGCGTTCTCATGCGTAAATGCCAGTTACTGCCAATGACTACCATTTTAAACAATTTTATTAGATAAGTTATCCGTTTTAATAAAAATAAACACATTTTTGGTTGCATTGATATCAATATAACTGAAATCAAACATAAATGCTAGTTTAACTCTCAAACTATACGTTCTTGTTCTTATAAATGGTTATCGGGTTAATGTGAAAACTACCATTTGATTATTTTTATTAACACTGACAATTGCAAGAGAGGGACAGATTCCACTTTCGTGGTTGTCCTGCTCGGAGTACTTTTCCCTCTTATGAAGATAGAAACTAAAAAATGGACTTTATGATTAACTATTAGAGTACATTTTTTGAGTTCTGTTTCGTAAGCATTCCAGATAGAATTACCTCGATAGTAATTTCATAGTCGCACTGTTCAGAGTACCTATTAAAAGCTCGTTGTAGTACAATAAATTGTAGTAGCGAGAAATAAACAGTGTAGTTTAAGCAGGTTGCCTGCTGCCACTATGGCCATCCTGCTTAAACTACACTGTTTATTTCTCGCGCTTGTTTTCTGAGTCTGAATCAGATTCTGAACCTACGTGCACTGTGGCCATACCCATACAATGCACCTCTGAATAAGGTATTAAGTCTTTGTTACCAGATCATAAAAAAAAGGAATCAATGCACGAACGGGACTTTTTGGCGGGATCGGGAAGCCTCACTTTAGCAGTTTTGTTTTTCTTGTTAAAAATTGTGTTGTGGCGGATGTTGTCTAATAATGGTGGATTATTAACAACTAAGTGTTCGGGAACATGCTCAAGTGTTGGCAAGTAAAACAAAATAACGGAAAGTGTCTTTCGACGTTCCCTCAAGAAGTCCTCGGGCAAGTTCCAGTAAATCCCCACACTTTTACTGAAACATAGGGATTAACTTGACTGCCACTTACTTTAACTTGATTTATTATTTTGACCAGGAGTGCTATAGTATTTGTAAACATTTTAACACTTGACATTGGCTAAATGCACAAACCGTGCGAAGCCACTTAGAAAAAAAAATGCACGAACGTAATGTCAAATTTGACATTTGCAGTTTTTGGAGCGTAAGTTAGAACGCAGCAGATGATTGATTGTCTGCACATTGTCTGCAACATAAATATTACTCGCTCACTGGTCTGCATTTGTATGATATCCTAGCCTCAGATAGTTTTTGTTTGAATAAACCTCTCATTTTTACATTCTACTAATTGTTATAATCATGAACGTGATCAGGGTAAGGTTATACACAGAAAGTGCTACATGAAGGACCCCGTTTTTTTAATGTCTTATCTGATTGATCATCCATGTGTATAAAAAGGCACTTTTTTTTGCTATATGTTCTATGCATGATTAATTTGTTTTACAGGGTTGTCTTCGTTCGGTGCCTTTGCGTAGTACCATTAATACTAAATATGGGAACTTGCGTCCACTCTCAGGAGCTCCTATCGTTCCTCAACCAAAGATGGATACTGCGCCACCAGCTGCAGTAGAATTGGATAAATTAATTAAAAGAGTAGAATTGGAAATGCGAGGCATCGACCCCGCAGTGTTGCTTAGCTACTCATGGTTTTGTGTAGCAGCTGCATCTCACTTAGGCATTGAAGTGACTAAAAAGTAAGTGGGACAATGGTAAATTAGGATTTGTGTGCAAATCGAAAGAATAACACAACAATGGTACAAAATTATGTATGCCATGAATGGGGGCCCTTACATGTAAAATTTAACATATGCACCTAATTGTGAGTGTGATTTGCCGTAAATTTATTTGACAATGGTACATAAATTATGATCATAAAACATAGTTATTTGTAGCACCTTTCAGCTTAGCTATTATTATACAAAGTCTTTATCCAAGATTGTGATAACATCAGATGTTATACTAATATTTAATTAAGATTAATAATTTAATGGTTTCTAGTATAACAATTTTATAATGAAGCTGTTTTATTTCAGTTGGGCATTACGAAAAGCAGAAAAAGAAAGACACACCCTTCTCAGATGTGTTCATATATACAAGAAACACAGAGTCCAATATGAAATACGTACATATTTCAGATTTATTCACTTGCAGAGGCTCACTGGTTCCACATCTGACACTTATTTAGAATACATTGAGAGAAATCTTCCAGAGGGCTGTGCTTTAAAAATTACCAAAGTAGAATGTACAAAAATGCCTGATCATATCACTCCACCAGAAAATTGAAAATGTATTATTAGGGTAAAACTAGAATAAAAGTAATGGTTAGTTAACACAATGTTTTATTCATGTTATTTTTAACTTTATCCATTATCATCATGTTATCCATTTAAGAAATAAATAGAATTATGGGCCACAAAATTCATATATAATTTGTAGGGGAAAAGAAAATTACTACAAACAGCATACTGCCCTGAAACTATCCGTACATAGAATGGGTTTCCTTTAATTTTAGCTAAACTTATACACTTAATAGCAGTCTTTATACATTTCAAATTGTGTTTAAAGTATTAGGCAATATGCTTAATCAGGCCTAAATGGAATATATTTTAAGTGTTTTGTTACTATAATCTATTAGCTTATAAAAATAACTTATACTAACTAGAATCAGAAAACTGGAACATGTGCCAAAAATCTCAAACAGCACTTTTATATAGGTATCAATATACTTTGTCAATATTGTTCAGTCCATAAACTTTGGCAGCGTCAGTATCTCCTTGGCATTGAGTTACTTTCAGATTTTTTCTATTCAAACTGTTGATTTTTGCATACAGTGAAGATAAAAAGGATTGCAAATGCTAGCTCGAGAGCATGAAACATGAGCATCACTGCACACCAGATATATTCTAAGCGAAGAATGTATGTTTGGTATATAAGAAAATAACATACCCCTACTGCTGAGGGTATGGTTAGTATCACAGAGAAGAATACTGGAATTTCTGAAATTTAATGAAGGTATTAGTGTTCATGCAATGCAATTAAAATTAATACAACTTTAAATTCGAAATACATAATATTCTTTTCTTACTTTTGCTAGCCAAATTTCCGCGTCGTCCTAGGAATATGCGAATTACTTCAACAAGGCAAAGTGCTGAGAATATTCCTGCTTCTGTTATTAAAGCGTTTTCTGGATATGAAACATTTATCGCTTTTAATATTCCCATGGCTACTTCACAAACGAAGAACATACCTAAATAAAAACTATTTAAATACAAAAGTATTTCGTATGCCAAACTTGAGTTAACATTAGTTACTTTAGACATCGCAATTTCTAAAGAAATTGATTTAACAAGGCCTTGTATTTTTGTTTACAAACTTGTTGTCAAGCACGCTTATTATTCCATTCACTCTCGAGTCACGTAAGAAAATACCTGTTTAATACTAAAATCCATAAGGGTATTTGGGTTGTATTTGGGCTCTGAGGTTTTTGAAGGAAAACCGGATACGGTTGTGTTCGTGTCAAAATAAGGGTGAGTAAGTGAGCGATGATATAAAATTAGAAAGAGATAAAAGATACTCAGACCGTTATTGATTTTCTTCCTTCCGTAAATGTTCCGAAACATTGATGTCGATTCTGGCATGATTCTCTAAAGCTAAACTTAAATTTGACAACAGTGCATCCTTGTCCTTCTCTATACAGAAGGAAAGGGTGAGACTGACCTTAAATTTAGTTTTAAGTTTAGAAAATCACTCCAGAATTGACACCATTGTCACATTTCATTATTACAGCTCTTTCTCTACATTCAGGTAGCTTTCCAATTACAGCATTATAGCGCATTATGCGGCATAATGCTTAACGTTGAGTGTTCCAACTACAGCAACTCTTCGCAGAATTGAGCACTCTCAAAAGTAATGCTTTCGTGTGATGCGTGCAATCGTACCAACTCAAAGACAGAAAATTAACAAGTGTTTTTTCTTTAAGTTGGCATTGATCGAAATGTTTTATTTATATGTTATCATTAGTAATATTATTTATTATTGAAAAATTATTAAGTGTCGTTTCATTACAGTTTTCTTTTAAATAATCAAAGTTTATTCAAACTGTTAAAAAATTAAATATAAATATGGATGAAGGTACAAACATTGACTTTTTTTTTCAACACTGAACTTAGCGCACTCTGCTGGTGCATTTGAAAACTAATTCACGTTCCAATTAAGCATCAGCATAATTCGGCATTGTGCGCCACTGAGTCGCATTATGCTCTGTAATTGGAAAACCACCTCATTAAATATCATTGTAAATGTAAATTACGTTTAAAAATATCATCAGTTTGTAAGCAAAGGCTTTTAGGTCACTGTGCTCCGTCATGCTAGAGCCTACCTCAAGGTTGTTACATAAGCTATATAAAATACTGCATATTCTTCCTCCTGTTACTATTTCCTAAACTAAAGAGGAAGATTTTTGTTGCATACTCTATACAAACAGTTAAGTGCTATTTTCATTATGTACGCTGGCGTAATGATCAAGTTAGCATACTCCAAATATTCACAGAAAGAGCACTAGCTCTTATATGCCCATACTGCAAAAAGTCACAAAGATGTGTTCGTCGTGCTAACGAACACCAGTGCACTATTTCACCAAGTCGTCATTATGTCGTTGACATAAGTCGGCTTGGCATCAAAAACTTGTGGTAGTGGTATATCTAATTTTTCTTTGAACGCAAAATCAGTGATAGGTACCAAAGGATAAATTTATTCGTTCTTTATAAATTCTCCTGCATCTTTTCAAGCTTTTTCGGAGAGCCATTTTGTAAGTAACAATGAAAACACAATTGTAACGCAAATCTTACGTAGCCACGATTTCATGTCAAGAATTACTAAGAATTTGACAATTATGTCGACTTAGAAAAAATACCCTTGATTGACCACACAATATTCGTTGAAACAAGCTAAGTATAATTGACAATTATAACTAAAAGGCCCGCCTTTTTCACCAAATTGCCATATGTCACCGAAATATGTCATATATATCAGTGACATATGTCGATTTGGGAAAATAGGACCCAGGTTAAACACGAGATTGTTACTACTATGCTTTAAATAGTGCCTATTTAGTGCAAAAAAATCTCTTTAGTTTAAGAAATAATGATAGTGATTGAGTTGACATTATACCACATACGATGGGATTTATGACCAGGAGGCCAGAAACCTTACGAAATTGTTCAATTTTTAAAACACGATTTAAAATTGATCGGGGTTAAATAAAAAATTAATATTATCTGTAATTCATGTTAATACATAAAGCAAGATTTCAAATGATATATGTTTGATTACCACTTTTGAATCGTCTCTTTTAGCTGATTAAAAAAAATCTTTACAAAGCATTCTCATCGTTCTTATCATACCTGTACCTCTACTAAGAACTAAGTAGAGGTACAGAGTTATAGTTTTTTTCATTGCGAATTTATATCCACTATTTATACTAACAGAGGCAGAATTTTACGTACTATAAATACATATATCATAGGTTAGAAGAAAAGTTCGCTTTCTATATGCACTATTTGGTGTACAGTACTATAACGCTAGCTACAAAGGTTATTTAAAAGTCTTGTTCTATATCTTTGTTCCTTTATGAGCTATCATTATGAAATTTTGAATTTTCTGTGAATATTTGCCGTTTTCGAGTTAACGCGTTTTTATCACGCTCAATTGTGAATTACTATCCAGTTTGTAAAAAACATGGTATAATGTAAACTTTGTGCTCATGCTATGGAGCTGGTGTATACTAGCTTGATCGTCACGCCATCGTACACCATGAAAACAGTCATATTATTTCTAATCTAAACAGGTAGTATTCTTAAAAAAATTGTACTAATTACGCACTTTGCACTTATTTGGTAGCTTTCCAATTACAGCATTATAGCGCATTATGCGGCATAATGCTTAACGTTGAGTGTTCCAACTACAGCAACGCTTCGCAGAATTGAGCACTCTCAAAAGTAATGCTTTCGTGTGATGCGTGCAATCGTACCAACTCAGAGACAGAAAATTAACAAGTGTTTTTTCTTTAAGTTGGCATTGATCGAAATGTTTTATTTATATCTTATCGTTAGTAATATTATTTATTGTTGCAAATTATTAAAACTTTCGTTTCATTATAGTTTTTATTTAAATAATCAAAGTTAATTCAAACTGTGTTAAAAAATTAAATATAAATATGGATGAAGGTACAAACATTGACTTTTTTTTTCAACACTGAACTTAGCGCACTCTGCTGGTGCATTTGGAAACTATTTTACATTTCAATTAAGCAGCAGCCGCATTATGCTCTGTAATTGGAAAACTATCATTAGCATAAGCAACAACGTCGAGTTTGCTCTGGTGTACGCTAGCATGACGGACACCCCCTTACACCACCCAACAGTTGGGTCCCCAACTGTTGGTGGTGTAAGGGGAACCAAATTGGGACGTATGTCGTTAGAAGGCGTTGTTACATTTTGTGGTAGTGCTAAAAGGTGTTCTTAGATGGCGCCGCAATTAGTACAATAATAAATAGATATTTAAGGTGGGCTCCCATACAACAAACGTGATTATTTTGCCGTTTTGTGCTCTATACTAATTACGACAACAGGTAGACGCTTGAAATATTCACAAAAAAATATTTGTATTTAAAAATATATATTGAAATTAAACTAAAATAAATACCTATATTAGGAGGCTCTCTTACAACAGACATGACTTTTTGCTCGATATTGTAATAAAGTGTCTATTTTTTAATGATAATCGTGCGCGAGTATCTATTCTACTACTTGGCCGGTTTTTTTGTTTTATATTTTGTATGTATAAAATAGGGTTTAATTAATATTTGTGTATATAATCAAAACGAAGAAGGAATTGTGTTGGTTAGATAATAATAACCACTGTGGATGATTACAACAATAAGATTTTCTATCAGCATAAATAAAATTGCAGTTGTGTACTATAGATAATTCAGATCAGTTTTATGCCACTAACTTTATGAAGCTGACTGTACCATTAATCTAAGAAAATTTAAAGGAAAAAGGACAGTCTGTGGAATATTAGGGACTAGTGGCCCGTCCTCGCTTCGCTTTGTCCCTACATTTTACAATCTGAAATAATTTCGAAAATATTCATTTAAATTACATGTTTAAAAGGGCCAAATTGATCTGTATTAAATACACAATGTATTTAAGGTACTCAATTGGTTAAGGTTGAATGCTATATTGACTGAAAATCGCTTCGTAAAAATACTATTATTTTTCGTAAAAAGCATGTGCTATGGTAAAAATAAAAGAATAAAAAATGGTTATTGTGGGTTATCCATAAGAGATAGACATATACATAGCATCGCGGACTTTTTTGTAGACCTTTTTAAGGTGTACAATACCTACATTATTTTGATCTATCTCGCCAGCGCGTTTGCAATGTTGGCGCAAAAAAATGTGTTTATTTACGACCTTACATTAAAAAGCTCTAAAATTATCAATGTTTCTCTACTATATTATGCATATATTATACATAGAAACCTTCCTCTTGAATCACTCTGTCTATTAAAAAAAACCGCATCAAAATCCGTTGCGTAGTTTTAAAGATCAATTTAATTCAATAAATGTATTATTGTATTTCAATTTAATTTAATCAATGTTATGCATTCCTATGTTTAGTAAAGTGTAAATTCAATTTAGTTTTAATTTTTACTTTGTTTTTAATAATTAAGATGAATCAATGTAATTTAAAAAAATCATGTCTGCTCATATATTGCATGTTGTGGTCGCCATAAATAGAATGTACTCTGTTTCTTGTTTCGTGAAATTGTGTTTGATGTTAACTATTCTTTGTATCATTAACTGATGATCCTTATATAAGTGAGTACCTAGCTTAACAAAAAAAAGATTTACTCCAAATTAATTAAAAGCTTGACAGAGTTATTAATCATAAATGCTACGCCTGCTATAATACACTCCCGGACTCTTGAATCGAGCCACCTTACATTCCCGGGCCTAAAAGCCCAATACACAAAAAATATACAAATAACAAAAAGTTTTTATGCATTTTTAATGCTGGCATATTTCATCGTCTTTTCCGTATGTATTATTCCAAATTTGAATTTTAGAATTTAAAATAAAGAACAAAAGCCGAGCTTGGCCACTGATTTGAAAAAAATAATGACTGTTGAAAGTTGCTTTTAATGTCGATTTGGTTTGAATTTTCGCAATTGTTGTAAACCAAAGTTTAGTTTAGTTATTTTTCTAATTTGAACCGTTTTTGGCTATAAAATTATGGATACTTCACCTGAAGTAGCCGCGCAAGCTGGGCTAAGTCAGCGAGATGTGAGTTCACAACTTCACATAAGTCGTTCCGCTGTTCAAAGAGTGTCCCACCGATACCTGGAGACTGGCGGCTTCGTTCGGCGAACAGGAGGACCTCGTTACCGAGTTACAACGGCGAGACAAGATCAATACATTGTCACTACTAGCTTACGAAATCGACGCCTTAACTCTGTTCAGATACAAGAACAGCTCAGGGACTTTCACGGAGTGGCTGTAAGTGCTCGGACCGTTAGAAGGCGACTCAGTGTGGTTTACATCCCCATAAGCCAGCCAATGGACCCAAATTGACACGAGCACACCGAATAGCCCGTCTAGAGTTTGCGCGCGAACATCTAAATTGGACTCGACATCAATGGAGCCAAGTTCTTTTCACAGATGAGTCCAAGATAATGCTATACGGTAATGACGGAAGGAGTAAGGCGTACCGAAGACAGAACGAGCGTTTCGCGCAATGCTGTATTGACGAGAAAGTGAGTTATGGTGCAGGATCATGGACAGTCTGGGGAGGAATCTCTATGGAAGGCAAAACTGAAGTAGAGGTAGTGACGGGACCACGACTGCCGCCCCTAGATGGCAATAGATACATTCGCCAATGTTTAGAGAACCACGTGATGCCATATGCTGGATTTATTGGCCAAGATTTCGTTTTAATGCATGATAATGCAAGGGCCCATACTGCGGGAATCGTCAGGGAGTACTTAAATGACATTGGTATCACTGTTATGAGATGGCCAGCGAGAAGTCCTGATATGAATCCTATAGAGCATCTATGGGATGAGCTGAAGAGGCGTGCTCGAGCTCATCATCCTGCCCCGCAAACCATGCAGGAGCTCAAAAATGTAATTTTGGAAGAGTGGGAGGACATTCCTCAACATTTCATAACGACATTGAATAATTCTATGCCAAACCGTATGAGAGCTGTCATAAATGCACTGGGAGGCAATACAAGTTACTAAATAAACATTTCTTTTCATGTAAAACATGTCTTTATTTAAAAAAGCAAATATGGACTTGTTTCAACGTAACTCGATTTTTTTAATAAACAGTAGTTCAAATTTAGAACAGTGGCACTCTAAATGAAGGATGAGTATACCAGCTCCAAAACTGCATCAAAGCATTTTCCTTCTACATACATCCTTTATAAGTTAACCAAAAAAATCAAAGTGGCTCGATTTAGGTGTCCGGGAGTGTATATTACCAATTCCATTATTTTGTCAATTTTCGCTCTTAATAACCACCCCTTACAACATTGAATTTTTATCAATTAATAAAATAGATATTTATTTATTTAAACTTTATTGACCAAAATATATAACAATGGTACAAAAGGCGGACTTAATTCTAAAAACATTCTCTCCCAGTCAACCTTTGGGAAAAATGAAAAACAAGAACGGCGCGGCGGTATAAAGCTAAATACATGTGCAAATATATGTACAAAATAACATAGATACATATAATATATACATGATGATGATTAAAAAGTGACACTTCATCTTAAATTTTGCAACAGATGAGCGTGAACATTACTTTTAAATATAAGTTTACTAGGAGATCTTCTAATGGAGTCGGGAAGGTCATTCCACAGTAGTATGGCTTGAAGAGTAAAGGAGTTGGAGATATAGCCTGAATGAGAAAGAGGAATATAGAGAGCTAATGAATCATAGTTTCAGTATCAGAGATACTGAAACTTTCATTTCAAGTACTCTGGGGAATGAGGGTTGGAAATAATGGTAAAAAGAGTAAAGAGTAATCTTAACTGCCTGCGCTGGCGAACAAGAAGCCATTTAAGTTGTGATCGATATGAAGAAACATGGTCAAATTTGCGGAGGCAAAAGATGAAACGTATAGCATTGTTCATAAGGCGGTCGAATTTATTGAGAAGATCTGCGTTTAAATCAGGATAACAGACATCGGCATAATCAATGAGAGGAAGAACAAAGGACGTAACGAGAGTGATCTTAGTTTTGATGAGGAGAAAATTTCTGAAGCGATTAAGGGTACGCAGCGAATAAGAAACGATACGGCTGACTTCGGCAATCTGCGTCGTCCAACTTAGCGTAGTATCAATATGAAGGCCGAGATTCTTAACGCTAAGGCTAAATGGAATTATAGAACCTTCAAATACAACAGGTGGGAGCAGACCAACATCGATCTTGAAGATCTGCTTGGAGTCACCCACTACAATAGCTTGACATTTGTTGGGGTTAATGGCAATTCCAAAGTCAGCAGACCAAGAACTTACATTGCAACGTTTCCTATTGAGCTAAGATATTCCAGCAGAAATTTCCTCAGCAGTCGTCTGCACATAAATCTGAAAACCATCAGCATAGAAATGATAAAGCAGCTAAGCGAGAAGGAAAGAAAGTTAGTGAACAAAGAGAAAAGAAGAGGGAAAAGAATGCCCCCTTGTGGAACGCCAGCAGTCAAGTCATTCCAACTTGACAATTCACGATCCTTGCGCACTGCCTGCTGGCGACCAGTGAGGTAAGATGAAAACGACCCCTATGTCAAAGACGAAAAATTAAGAGTTTTCAGAATCGCAAGTAGAATATCGTGGTCCACCATATTGAAAGCATTGGAGAAGTCAATAAGGACAATAATGGTGACCAACTGGTTCTCCATGCCAAGTCGGATGTCCTCAGTTACCTTAAGTAGCGCAGTCGATGTACTGTGCACAGGTCGAAAGCCGGATTGAAAAGGTGTAAGTACCTGCCTAGAGTGTATAAAAGGTGATATTTGTTGGCGAGTTTCAAGGATTTTGGAGAGGAATGGGAGGATGGAAATTGGCCTAAAGTTGTTCAGTTGTGTAGGAGTGGAAGTTTTAGGAAGGGGAATAACGTAGGCTTTACGCCAAGGAAGTGGAAAGGAACCAGTCAGAAAAGAATAATTCGATATGACCAATAACTGGAAGGATAATGTCAATAATATTTATAACCATATCCCTGCTCACGTGATCGTATCCTACGGCTTTCGATTTTATGGATAGAATAATTTAATTAATTTCATCATTTGACATTGGAAAAAAGGAAGATGAATAGGAAAAACGTAGAATTCCATAAAAAATGTATTTACCCAATAATACACTGCATACATACTTACATACATAGAAAAAACTAAATTTTCTACAAACAGATGAAAATAAGTTTTTTACATTTCTTCTTAATCGTCGTCGTGGTCGTCGTCATCCTCATCTTCTTCTACAACTGGTGCACTATTATTGCAATCTTTACCAGAACACCCGCAATATAATCCGACTTTTCTGCAGCCACATCAAAATGTTTTTTTGCGAATGCAGAAAAATACAAAGATTCATTTTAAGAAGTTCTTCAGATGCGGGCGGTGTATTCATTCTAATAGGGTGCAATGAACCTTACTTCAAGAACCACCCCCAGAGATGGACGTAACATATAAAATCGAAGAATAAGATTTCACAGTTGGTTGAATTTTTTCGTTTCCAAGCCACTATTGGATTTGAAAATAACTAGACACACGAGCAGATGTTTTTTTAAGTATTGAATATCCGCGACTTTAATAAATAACAAGGTAGATTAAAAGCTTGAATAGTTAGGTAGCTTTGAAATCGAAAGTGACCCGACTAGGTGAAAGCCGAGCTACAGCCAAGAGACTAATGGTAATGTGGTATAAGTCTTATTGGGAAATTTAAGTATACCTATATTATTTACTCTTCTCTTCCAATGAAAGTTTCGAATAAGTATACTTAAGTGACTAGGGAGTTTTACTTGTGGTTATACGCATTCAACATATCTTGTCAAAGGTAACTTTCTTTTTAAAGTTCGGAAAACATTAAGAGAAAGCTGTAATTTTGCTTATGGTTACCCACTTGGCCACGAAAATGGTTTCTATAACTTAACTTAATACAATCTATTATCAGAAATCACTTAAAAAGAGCTAATTCTGGAACCTTAGCCTTAGGCCTTTTTAAAACATGGTGACTTAACAAAGCCTATGTACTTCAATTATAGGAATATTGTTATAAGAGTATAAATTATATTAAAATATGAATTTAAGAGCCTAATCAATCCTAGTTGTAGAACTGTCGCCTATGCATGTGTATTTTTGATGTTCATGTATTTTAATAGACTTTTCTGCACTACAGTCATTATTTCAGCATAGACCTCATTTGAATCAGGTACCTTATGACGAGATCATTGTGGTTGTTCATCACAGAACATAAGTGTTTTGTGTTGTTTACTCATTCGAAGAGTAGTATTGCTGCAGCCGCTTATCGTCGACCTAACTCGAATGCGCACGTCATCTACTTGTTCAACGATTGAATAACACGTGCTTAAAGAGTGTAACAGCGGAAATGGAAGACGAGCGAGCAACCCGATCGCATGACTGATTGCCAGGTACGTTGAAAACAATTTAATTCCATAATCAGCGATAATGGACCTTGCACACACGATTGATTCCTCATCATTGTCAGCGATTAATATTTCTTCAATATCAGCTAAAAGAAAGTGAGAACGAATCATGGTCCACAAATAAATTGAAATAGACGATATTAAATCTTTCTAGTAAATTAATGTGAATAAGTGAGTTTTTTTATTTACCACATTAAATATGTTCGGTCTAATTTATAGATCAGGGGAAGCAGTGTCAATATCCAGTCTATCTTCTTCTTCTTTGTCAAGTACATTTGTCAATTTATTATATACCTATAGTCCAAGACCGTCTATATATATAATATAGATAAAAGTGTAACCGCAGAATATTAACTAATCTCAGTTCCCTCAAGATTACGACTCACGATCTAATTAAAAATTATTTATGATTATAAATCAAAACTGAAATATCGAAACCATATTTGTGAACAAATTGAACGAAAAAACCGCAAATCATAAGGCTGAAATGAACAGTGTACCTGCACATTTATAACACAGTTCCTGCATAAAGGAAAGTGAACCAGCATAGAGAACCATTGCAACGCACGCGACCAATGCATTCTCTAACAACAACAGAGTAAGACGTGTTTGTCACAAATTAAAAATAAATAAAAAAAAGTCTTAATGCATTTTCTTTAATAAAAAAAGAACTATTATAAATAGTAAATAAAGGTAAAAACAACTAAAAATGAGAACGAAAACGCAATTGACGTTTAAAAAAGTAGATAGCAAGTATGGTGAAGTGTTAGACAGGATGTTTGGAAAAAAGGATAGTATGACTATAGTGAATCCTAGCAGGACTCTGCTGCCGGCGGACTACATAAAAATAGGGCAAGACATACTGGAGATGGAAGTGCTAGAAGACGACGTTTGGATGTGCTCTTATCCCAGGACAGGTGAGTTTATTCTTTTATTTCTACAAGCTGCAATAATGAGTTGAGTTGCGGCAGAACTGTGTGGCGCTCCAGCCTTCCCCAAGTTTGCTGACTGAATTCAATCCCCTATCCGTTAAGCCATAGAAACTATACTCACCAATAGAAACACGACGCCACCGTACAAGGTAGTTTTGTTTAATTCTGTGCAGTCTGCTACTTTCCAAGTGGGCGCTCCTATTCGAATAGGAAATCCTCGAGTAACTACAAAAGTTGGAAGTATTTATCTGTATGTATTTTTATCATGAGGACTAAAGCTTTGCGATTTTTTAGGTATATTTTTATTTTGAGTATTAATCTACTTAATTATCTAGAGAAAATGTTTTAGTAAAATTTTCCTCAAGCTTTGCGATTTTTGACAAGCTTTTAATGTGGTACAATTTCATAACTCGTAAATATTATTTAACTAATGTTTGGTTTATGTGTTAATACCAATTTTAAATAAAGTAATGACGTAACATGATTTCTGCTGATTATATTTTAAAGTTTATTAAACGCTTTTCCAAATTTACTCATTATTTTTGTCTGTCTATAACAGCCCCTTTCACATAGCCCGCCAAAGGTTAAGGTGTCCACTTTGTGCCTTCCCCTAATTAGTGACAGAGACTGAGACTAAAGTAGCTATGAAAATATTGTTCAAAGTCAAAAGATATGGCAAAAACATTGTGGACATGCCACAATGATTTTGCCATTTATATGATATATGGCTTCTCTCTATAACTGTTTATAGTTTCTCTCAAAGGTACGTACAGAGAAGTGGATCATTTTCTCACTCATAATCATTTCACTAAAGTGAATCAAGTATTATAATTAATTATATCACTAAACTTGATTCTTTTTATAATTATATTCCTAGCAAGATAGTTATGAATCGCTTTCGTGTTACTATGTTACGGTATATAATTATATCCCTAGGGATATCACTATACCGATTTATCTATTATACTGCGACGTCGTTACGTTAAAATCGTGTAAATAAAAGTAGTGAGAACAGCTGTTATAAACTGTAATTGTATTAGGTACATCCCCATACAAATAAAATGTTTTACCTATATCGTTTATAAAATATCCTATATAAACGGCGCAAGTAAATTATATACCCATATGAAATAATTATTATCCGTTTAAGTTCGATCGTATTTTGAAACTTTATTGTTTTGTAAATGATTAACAACATCTGCCATACCATTCGAAAAGGAACTTCGTTCCAATTAAAACAATTCAAATCTACTTTTCTGCACTGTTTTGGTTCTAAGCAAAAAATTGTCCTTTGGTTTTGTAGTGATTAATGCTAACATTACATGTAGTGATTAATGCTTATTTGAAATAAAATTCTTTTTGCGGAAACATAACCTAAACCATTGTCTGAATTTGCTAGTAACTCAAAATTCACCGCGCATATCTCATTTAAAGTTTGAGTTTATCAAATTTACAATTACTTAGTAAATTGTAGAATAAGTTAAAATTTATTGATTAATTAGTGTAAAGAGAACCTGCCATTCATGCCCGGTTTTTCATGTGAATTATATTATCTCTTTCGCCTAGGATCGACATGGTGCCAGGAAATGGTGTGGCTGATCGGCCATGATTTAGACTATGAAGGTGCAAAGTCTCTGCAGCAAGTACGTATGGTATTTTCCATAAATTTAATTATAAGTAGGTAATTCCAGAAGTATAGTACATTACTGCAGCGGCCACCAAAAGAGCCTAGTTGTGGCCAAGGCTTGTATAGTACTTTTCACAATACGCGGAAATTAAGAACCTAGGCAGTACATAGGCAGAAATTTTTATCTATACTAATATCATAAAGAGGAAAGATTTGTATATAAGTATGTTTGTAACGAAATAGCTTGAAAGGTACTGGACCGATTTTAAAAATTCTTTCACCATTTCAATGCTACATTATCACTGATTAATATAGGCTATAAAAAGTTAGGGTTCTGTATGAAAAAATCGATAATGAAACCCAACGTGTGTAAAAAATACCAAAAAAGCCTTATATCGCGTACGCTGCGGAAGTTATTGACAATAGAGCAAAGTGATATACTAAAGTTTTACAGAGGATACCAATATCTACAAAAAAGTCCGCGATACCATTTTTTTTAAATTCGTGTTTTACGGCCGTAGCTTTCGCCATTTCGGCCTAATACAGTTATGTCACAAGTAGAGGTCCCCTGCGGTTTCACCTGCGTTAATTTGAAGAAAAAGGTTTATAGTGAGTCAAACTTAAAATATGGACATAAGCTGTCGTGGACTTTTTTACAGAACTTTTAAAGGGAAAGAATTCCGTCGTACATGATTTTTGTATAAATTTAACCGTTTACCCAGCGCACGCAACGGAATCTCACAAATGGAATATTTTACCCGTTTTTGCTATTTATGTTTATTTACTACTGTGTATGTTTATTTCATCCGTTTCAGTTTCATACTTAACGGATAAAAAAAACATTAGTATTGATACATAGATAAGTAAGTTGTATCCTTACCGGGTCTAAACCCCTATGGCTATGTATTAGTATGTATATTGCCTTTTACCATTGGACGAAGAATCACGTTAGATATTTAGACAGACCGTTACGATTATTTGTAACTATTAAAAAGTAATGTGAGTAAGTAAAGTTTGCATGGTACAGATTCGGTGTCCACTCGTCGAGTTGTCCTGCATCATGCAGCACGGTCACACAGAGTGGTACAATGAGTCTGTGAAGGGCACGACGGTGGAGCTGGTCAAGCATCACCTGCCGCATCCACGCTATGTGCGCAGCCACCTCCCCTGGGAGCTACTGCCTCTTGACATAGAGAAAGAAGACGGAACTGCTAAAGTCAAGGTTTGTTCAAAAAGGAATAGGTTATGAGGACATGTCTTAGTTAACAATTCTCTTCTTCGGTATAGCTTCTGTGTTTGGATATCAAGATGATATTTTTTAGACAGAAATATAAATAAGTATTGGTTATTAATCCATTCCTCAAGGAGAACATTCTTGCTCAGTGGTATTCCTTTCATTAGTAAATGAGAATGAAAAAGTAATGTTTGCAAATTGACAGTTTTTCTGGTCTGGTATGGTCTTAATGGACATACCAGTAAGGCCTGACCAGACCAGAAAAACAGTCAGTTTGCAAACATTACTTTTTCATTCTTATTGAAAGTGAACCTAAGATAGTCTACTAATGATTTGGCTTCACAGTACAGATTTTTTCCCGAGATTATTTTGTTACTTTGTTATAATGATTGTTGTAAGTTTGTAATCTTACATTTTTTTATGTCCAGGTGATCTATACATCTCGCAATCCCAAGGATATGGTGGTTTCGTACTACAACTACTTAATCCTGGTCCACGATCTCAAGGGGACCTTTGAGGAGTTCTGCGACATGTTCATGAAGGATCTGGTGCCATTCGGACCAGTCTGGAGTCATATATTGGGTACCTTATTATTACATTCTACATACCCGCTAACTTGTACTGTGGGAAAACTTAAAATATTTACACGTTATAACAAAGTGTAACCGTAGCGAGAGAACGTGCCCGACTGAATGCAAGTCTGGCAATTACCTGATTTTCGTATTGCCAAATTTGAAGCGTGTATGACTTATTTAAAACTTTAAAACATTATAGTCTACAAGACATAGAAATTTGGAGCCTGCTGGAGACTACTATCCACCATACAAATTTGAACCGTCGCCTTTGGAAACTTTTGGTTTTGAGTTTTGTATTGGTTTTCTTGAGATATTATCATGTGCATTTCCTCATGCTGGGAAATTCAATAATAGTAATGGTATTCATTGGAACATCATCATCATCAGCCTATTAATGTCCCCACTGCTGGGGCACAGGCCTTCACTATGGATGGAATAGGGAGATTGGGCCATGACCCACCACGCGGGCCTAGTGCGGATTGGTGGGTGCTAACGACTGCAGATGCAGCCGGGACCAACTTCTTAACGTGTCTTCCGAAGCACGGAGGATTTGGCTTCACATTATTACATACATTGGAACATAGATTATTACTTCATTTATTTATTTCTTATTTATACGACTTTCAAATTGTTTTGACTAAGAACCTCCTTCATTTCTTTCAATCACCACTTTGCTAATTTTCTTATTAACCACGTCTAGGTTTCTGGAATCGACGCCACGACCCCAACGTCCTTTTCATCAAGTTCGAAGATATGAAACGCAACTTGCCAAAGGTGGTTAGGCAGACGGCAAAGTTCCTCAACAAGGAAATGACTGAAGAAGAAGTGGATAAGCTTTGCGATTATCTATCCTTCAGCAACATGAAGAACAACAGAGCCGTCAATTTGGAAGTAGTACTGGAGCGCACTTTCGGCAAGTCTTATTTAGAGCAGACGGATCTAAGATTCATAAGGAAGGGAGAGATCGGTGATTGGAAAAATTTCATGTTCGAAGATTTGTCTAGGAAGTTCGACGAGTGGGCCCAGAAAAATTTAGAAGGATCCGACTTGAGTTTCGATTAATTTACTGTAGGTTTGCTATTATTGGTGCTAATTTATCATTATAATGTTATCTAAAATATTATTAGGTCTCTAATGTTGTATTATTGTCATTGTTATCATTCCAAAGAAACATAATAAACAAATACTTTAACATATTTTGTGTTTTAATTTTTAACATAGGCGGTCGTGTCCGTACAATACTTTTTATAATAAATATGTAATATTTTACTTTTTGTCTGTATTTTAATCAATTTTAATAATCTCTTATTTCGACAGGATACTTTAAGGGCTGGAGTAAGTTTTGATTTTGCAGGTGCATGGCATAGTTTTATAGCTAACTTGGGTATATATTTATCTAAGAGTTGTTGGAGAACAATGTTAAATGCATCATAGTTGGTGTTGGTGTTTTGGTCTGGTTTTATTATTTCAAACCACTTTACTCCTTGCAGTTCTTTTTAAATTTATTAATATTTTTGTCATTAAATAATCTTTTCAGTAGGAAGAATTTTTTAGGAGCCTGCATACATAATGGTACGGAGAGGATCAGGCCTTTATGGTCTGAGAAAGCGAAATCATTTACTACTAAATGGTGATTGTTTGACTCAAAATTTAAAAAAAATATTACTAATACAACTGGAAGTATTTTCAGTAACTCTGGTGGGTTCTTTGACTATCTGGTGAAAATTATACATTAACATTGCTTTTTTTAAGTTATTTGTTTCTAGACATAAAGCCATAAAGTTCACATTTAAATCTCCTTTTACTATAACAGATTTTGAAGTGTCCTTCAATGATAATAATGCCATGAGTTTTTCGATACACTCAAAAAATACATCTCTATACTTATTGTATTTACTATTTATATATTTATTTTTTACTTATTATAAATTAATTATAACTACGTTTTGTCTAGTTAATTCAACAGCAGATATTTCGAAGATGTTTCTTGAGAATTTTTTTCTATATCTTTTCTTTCTTTAGTCTCTAGGTTCCCCTTTACCAGTATGCACACGCTGGAGATGGTTATCTGAAAAGATCTCATCACCATTGATGACATACATGGTGATGAGATCTTGATCATGCCAGGTTATACAGCACACGATGGAGTATGACCAGCCGCTATGTTTATCGTTTGGGGACTTTAAGAAACCTTATATTTGATCAAAACTTGGACTGTGCTAAAATGTCCTGCGATACCATGTTTCCTGATAAAAAGAGAACAACAAGACAGCTTTCGAAGATGCCTTGATACTTCTGGTTTAAGATGGTCTAGGAATAAGCATCAGTAATGAGAATATCTTAATTATTTCTGTTGACATCGTGGTTATGTCTAAGACGTTGGAAAACCTCGGCACAATACTCGAAGACCTTAACAGAGTCTTAATCAGGTGGTATTCGTAAGGGCAAAACTTCGGCGTCATACCCATTCTCTGAAGGTTATACATTATATTTCTAATGGTTATACACCTGGAACAGAGAGTCCAGTAGAGTAGATTAGAGTCAACTTCCAGAGAGAATAGATCGCCGAATTTTGCTTGTTTGGGCACAATATACTATACACTACAAAACATCTCTCGTTAAATAACTGCAGTATCTCAAGACCACCAGATTTGTTGACAAGTACTTGTTGCTACAGTATCTAATGACTAGCACTGAGACGTGGTCGCTTACAAATTAAGATTTGATTCACACAGAGGCTTCTTATTTTTATACCAAAATCAAGCAAATGCGATTCCTCAGGGGGATGGCATACAATAAGGAGATCCGTAGAAAAACGAAACCGAACTAAAAGCTGGTTGGTGGTCATGAGGCAGATATGTTTTTGAGTGGCGATCGCGTAATGTTTGACGCAGCGTAAAAGATACTGTCGGATAGAGAACTTATTATGATGGCCATACATGATCAAGTCCATCGTTGAATTGGTGTCGGTACATCACTGCCGATTGGATTAAGTAGAACTGACTGAGGGTGAGCGTGGATTGCCGTGACAGTTTTAATTGACGTAACAATCAATATTCCATTCTTTTGGCTTGATCAAGCCGATTGGATTATGCCGATCGGACCTAGTCTAGTCTGTAAGTTCAAGAGATTTTCAGAGATTTTGGTGCCAATTATGTCGGGTTGGATTATTAACGACTGTGTGCATCACTCCGCATGGACTTTTCTTTCTTCTCGTTTCTTTATCACGAGTATATTCCCAAGAAAGCGACATCGCCATCCGTCACTGGTGACGCCATGACTTCAAAAAAATTGATCGTATATGTTGTATATGGGCGAACTACGGATTGCATCAAGCCTGCAGTGTCAGGCCGGTTGGACGATAGGCAATATGGTTTATGGCCACCATCAGCAACCTATTAATGTCCCCACTTTTGGGGCACGGGCCATCCATGGGGAAGCCCATGGATGGAATATGGAGATTGGGCCATAAACCACCACGTGGGCCCAGTGCGGTCACCATTATATACAAGAAAATATTGGTCACTATTTTATTATTTTGGCTAGACCCTATACCTAATGGCATTCAACACAATTGATAATATTTTCATGATTACGATATTGGATCACTCAATATCGGAATTATAATTGACGATTTATGATGCATACCCCACCGCACTGGGAGTGCGGCGAGGTTATGTGGGGCACCTCCGGCCGAACCGGTCAAACCGCTGTCTCCTGGCCCCCACCAGCGTTGCAAGATTTTTTTTGCCAAGTCGGGATCTAGGAACTTTTTGAGTGAAAAAAGCGGGATTCTTTCGTCGAAAGCGGGACATAGTTAAAAAATTCGGCCAAGTGCGAGTCGGACTCGCGCACCGAGGGTTCCGTACAAACTCAATTTAATAGCTCTACGCGTTCATGAGAAAACAGGTAGTAACTTTAAAATTCACAAAAATGAACAGAGAGGAAATAATATTTTTATGAAAGTACAAGAAACATTCATCTTTTGCAATACTAAATTATATATAGGGTATTTCAACAAGTACTTTGTTTTCTAAAACAAGATAAAACAAAAAATTTAGATGAAGATGATTAAATTTTTTATTAAATTACAAAGAGAAAAGTTCGGCAATTATGAATGAAAAATGATATCTTGCAAATATCCACCACGAGCACGCTGACAGATGTCGATTCTTTCATCAAAGTTTTAATCACTGTTTGGCAAAATGGTGGGACTATTTCGTTAATCACATCACGGATTTTGAATTTTAAGGCGGCAATCGATTCAATTGTCCCCGTATACACTCTGTCCTTAACATAACCCCACAAAAAATAATCTAGTGGTGGTAAATCACATGATCTGGCTAGCCACTTAACACTTATTATTTCTGATTTCGAAAAATACAAATGCCTAGTTATGTGGTGCAAAATGATATTGCAATTATAATAATACTAGCTGACCCGGCCAACTGCGTACTATCTTCAACTAGACTATCTTTAATTTTAGCTTAATTAAATTGAGGATTTTACAAGCAAGATAAAACAAATACAAAAAAATTCAATAGTTCACTAGGATTATCTATACAGAGTGTTTGTTTTAGGGTGTCATGCCAGTGCGAGTTAATAGCGGAGTACTATACCCTGTCTGTGATAAGACTGGACAGTAAGGAGAGATGTATCACGATCTTCCTGGACTTGGCTAAGGCTTTCACCGCGGTGAGACCACTGTCTCCATTCCACAATTGTTGAGAATACTGCAAAAGCTCGGTGTTAGAGGGTTTCCTTTAAAACTTTTCGAGAGCTATCTTAGTAATAGAAAGCAATGAAAAACGGTTTATTATTATTGTATTCTTGGTCCGTCGTTATTCTTAGTACTCATTGATGATCTATGTCAACTTCAACTTCCTCACGGCGAGATATTTACATTTGCAGATGACACTACACATCTCTTCCATGGTAAAGATTGGGAATATGCTTTTTGTAACGCTCAGAGAGGCTTTGAAATGGTGGTTTCGTGGATGCAAAGCTACTTGCTTGCTTTGCTTATAGGAAAAACCTCCTTCCTCCACCATGCCTCCGCATTATAGCCCATAACCCTTCTTGCTCCTAAAATAAATATCTTCAATGTGTTTGTCCTTCTTTAGGAAGAAAAAATCTATTAAATATCTTGGCGTCATTATTAATGAAAATTTAACTTTTAAGCCTCATCTAAACACACTGCTGCTCGTCTGCGGAAACTTATATACGTGTTTAGGACCTTACGCCATATTGCGAACAAGCGCACCGTCAAGATGGTATATTATGCTTTGAGCCAGTCTTTCTTAGGATACTGCATCACCTCTTGGGGTGACAAAAACCCACTTTGAAGATAGGGAAGTCCTATCGGTAAGGCAAATATTTATTTTAACTACCCTTCTTCTGGGAAACACTGCTGCTCGTCTGCGGAAAATTATATACGTGTTTAGGACCTTACGCCACATTGCGAACAAGCGCACCGTCAAGATGGTATATTATGCTTTGTGCCAGTCTTTGTTAGGATACAACATCACCTCTTGGGGTGACACAAACCCACTTTGAAGATAGGGAAGTCCTATCGGTAAGGCAAATATTTATTTTAAGTACCCTTCTTCTGGGAAATTCATATATTTGAAACGCAACGAGCGCGGTTGTGACGTAAAAATATATAACAACAATAAACAAACATGATGTTCACAGGATACGCCAATGTCTTTTTACTTAGATATTTTTTTTTTATGATTTTACTTATTTTTTAAGCATTCCATATTTTTTTACCAAAAATGCATGAAACATAATGTCTCTTTTTGTCGACTAACGTAGGTTTCAGCTTCCATCAGCAGTAAAGGTACGGAACGCATAATGTCAGTATCTTGTAAGGTCATTGGTCTTGTTTGCAGGATGATGCATTGTGACCTCACACCCAAGCGTTCCAAAATAGAAGCGTTTAAAATGCCCCTGCAAGGTTTTGACCTGACCTGACCATTTTCATATTTTTTTTAGACACTGTAATATTTTTTTCACGTTGTTTATTTAAAAAATTACACTTTATTTTTGATACATTTTTCTTTATTTCACAATAGAGTGAGATTCACAACTTTGGCATTTCAACAGCAACACATTTTAATAATACAAACAAAAAGTTTACGTAATAAGTATAAGGTTAAAATGGTTCTAGAAAACAGTTTTTGAAATTGTAAGAGTGCCTTAAATATGGATATTGAAACTCCATTACGCTCAATATTTATTACTACGCTAAATGCTATCAATTGAGTAACTTTGCTCTTAGAGGACGTTTGATATGTTAATAATTTTCAGGTCAGGTAAGTACTATCAGCCAATTTGATTCCAGAATCACCGCAAGCTTATTTTCTTACAAGCATTGCAAAACATTAAGGTCGACTTTCGCTTAAATGTACGTATCCCTGGAAACAAATTATTTATTTTTAGAACAATCATATTTGACATGCTAGATTTTCCCTCCACCTTGTGACATGCTATCGGTATTATTTGGAGTTTTGTCCATAAACTTAAAATTTCCAGGATTTTACCATTAGTTAACCAAAGTTTTTTAAGTCAATAAATTAATTGAGTTTCTGTTATATTTACGATTTTGAACTTAATTTTGGAAGTTCTTTCGAAATTCAAATTACAAATCCAATTTTATCTAAAAGATGATCTTCTACATTGAAAACAAAGGTTAATTTTTAAAGATCTTTGATCCAAATTAATACAGTTTCCTTGTTACCAGTAGTTCCTAAGTGCAATTTTACGCATTTTCTATAGAAGAAAACTTGTGTGTTTTGACATTTTTAAGCAATTTATCGAGCAAGTAGGTCAGGAATCAATTTGTTCGTTAGTACCTACACAACTGGTTATAAATATATTGAAATATTTATAACAAATAATGAATTAAAAATGAATTCATAATTATTTTAAAAATTCTGTATTTTTCTAATAACATTTTTTTTAATAAAGTAAAAGATATTTTTTTCTTTAGTAGGTGAATTATTATTTCTACAAGTCCCTAGTTCATTTTGTTTCGTCTCTAAGAGCGCGTTCAGACGACACGCGCCCGCTAAGCGCACACCACGCGCGTCAGCATCCGTGTCTAACTCGCTTTGAAATTTCTTGTATGTGTTATAATATGAGTCTTATAACATATCAATAAATCTCAAATTGCATTTATCGAAGTCCACCCGCACATAGGGTTACTTTTTGGGAATTTCACAAGTCCTGACAAAAACCCTGACATTTCGAAAAAAATCCGGACGATTTAGTCACAAAATTACTCACATAAGTACAATGGTATGGTATTTAAATCAATATGTGTTTTTATTATTTCTATTCAAAATCATTTAAAAATCCGGTCAAAGACCCGGACTATAGTCTAAAAGATTATCCAGACGGATGGTAACCCTACCCGCACACGCCATGCGCCGGCTCCACGCCCTCCTCGCGCCAACCCCGTGCTCACCCGGCACACGCGCTGCACCCACCTGCATAAGCTTAGCGCCTGCGGCATGACTAGTGTACTTTATGTCAACTGAACGGATGAGTCCAGTCACTAGTAGTATAGGCAAGCGCACGGCATGCGCTGATTTTACGCGTGGGTGTAATGCGGGCACAACGCGTGTGCGGCTCCTGCGCGTGATCACCGCGTGACATTTGAACACGCCCTTATAGCAGGTTTGTGTATAACATTATATAAAAGTGTTGTCAACAATCAAACAAATTAGACATAAAAATGCCGCGTCACATTCACACGAGTGTAAACAAGAAAAATTAAGTACTTAACCATTAGAAACATTAATAATAAATATAATCTCAAAACGACTAGATAAAAGTATTTTAATTGACTCACAACATTCAGCTAACCTATGCGCCTTTTATTTTTATTTTTTTATCCAAAGATGATACTACTTATTTTTAGAACTGAACCGGAGGAAAAATTAATCATGCTAGGAAGAATATCCATTCTATATGGCTCTGGACTATAAGAATAAACGCGATTTCTTAGACGCAGCTTCAGCTGGTATTTAGCTAATAAGAAAGTCAAGTATAAATGCGTAAGATCAAAGCGGCTTTAAAAAGAACCTCTCTTCACAGTAAGTTACTACCTACAGACTATCTGTAATGTAGGCTTTTGTAAGCAACTCAGGATTTTCATGAAAATGTTACTTAGTATATAATTCTTATGCAGTATTTTCTTGCATCGCAATTTATGCTTCTCTCTTTTCTGTCAATTCAATAAAAAAATAAGCCCCGAAGAAGGTTTCCTTTATGGTCACAATGTTCATAGTAGGTGTCATAAATATTATTTTTTATTTAACGTTTAATACTTTCGATTTACAAAATAATCCTAAGTTTAACAAGTTACTAAGTATCACCTTTGGATAGTGCACGTATTAAAATATATTTCCTTAAAAATACTCGTTGATTTACCTAAAATAATCCTAGATATATTATTTGAAACCCTTTTTTGCATTTTAAATGCTAAAATATGTTTTTATTATTAATACATTTTAACATGATAATATTATTCCCTACCTAGTTAAAATATAATACATGCTTATTTTAGAAAAATATTTATGCTAAAAGTGCGTACGTACGTAGCGTACGTTCCTTAAATTAATTTGAACAATTAAAAAAATATCATGTAGAATATGTTTAAATTCTATAGTGTTCGACAATCTAATTTCTAACATTTTTATAATGAATTGTTTATTCAAATTTAATACAATATTATGCAAAAGGTTGGCTCATAAATATTTTTGTTTAATAAACTGTCAAAATCTTCTAGCAACCACTGTCAAACAGCATTTAACATTTTTTTTATTCTCAAATATTATTTTATAATTCTTTTTCTATTGTCATTAAGTAAAGCTCATATTGAGTTGACTAACATTTGATATAACTATTATTCATTGGAATTATTCTTTGGGATGTATATTTTATGAGATCTACAGTTACAACATTAATTAAAAGGAATACATTTTATTATAGAATTTTACAATTAAATTTTTCAACTTAAAACAATACAGAAAATGAAATATTAATTATTTAAACATTTTTTTTTCTTACACAATAATATCATTAAGTTCTAAACGTATATAATGTATACTAGAGAGAAAAAATATTAATATATTAATATTACAATGTCCCATTCTGTACTGGGAGCGAAAGAAAAAACTTAGTACTTACATATAGGCCAGTATCAAAATTTTCGGAGCAGACACTAAAATGTCTAACAACAGAGGGGATAACTTTTTAGGCCAATGTTAAACGATGAGTTGACCAATTGTATCTTCACTACCGTTTCTGTCTTACGACGTAGGTGTACATGTATTATTTAAGTAACAAATAATATACATTATAATATCCGATTTTTTTAACCAATATTTAGTCCAATACTAAGCAGAACTTAGTGCTATATGGAAAAAGTGTGTATAAATAATTTATTTGGAACAAATACCTTGTAAATATAACCATGACACGTTAACAACTGCTATAGTTTACAAAACTGTGTAGCATTAACGTCCATTTCCGTTTAAATTGAGAACAGCGTTCCAATCCAATATTAAATAAATCTTTTTTTTTAATCTGAGCTTTTAGCCAAACAATAAAAAAATAAAAACTATAATAAATATATATTATACAGTTATGATCACATAATTAAGAACGCTAAATAATACAAGGCAAATACTATGTTTTGACCATAATTTCAGTGCATGGTTCGATTCTAAACATACTCTGTTAGTGTTGTAGAATATTCTTATGACCAATCTGCATTATTCATGTAATAGTTTCTTCGAAATAATGTACCTTCTTATTTGTCCACTTATTAAATCATAGGAACTCCTAAAGTTGCCGGAATACTGTCTGGACAAATAATTAAGAACAAAAATATTTTGTTCTTTTTTCATCATTTTGAAAATGGAATGCGATGTTTGTCATTACTATGGATATTGCATTTTCACGATATTATTTTTAGAATATATGTTTTCTACATTTTTTTATTTAATGTTAATGGCAAATAATAAATCTTGCGACACTACTGCTAGAGAAATAAAAATAAATCTGCGTGCTCGTAATCGGTCATATATTTTTTTTGATCACTTGTATTGCTCAAAAACGATGGTATACCAAGCTGTAAATCATTTTTTCAACACGTTGGCTCTAAAAATGCATTAACAACGAAATGCAATTACGGTTGTATTGTACATTGTTCGAAAATTTAAAATTACGGGCCATACAGCGGAGCGTGCGGTAAAATTCATTACGCACGCTCCATACATGGCACCATGAGATTCGTTACGGTTTTTTTTTAATTCATTCGAACTTTATTACTAAAAAGAAAAAGAGAAAAAAATGTAGTTCTAATTTATCACCCGCACGTGGTGCCATTTGGAAATACGCGCTTTTATTTAGTTATTAGAAAAAAATTGCTTCATTACATACATTATGTATAATGTTTTCTTGCAAATGTGTTGAAAATGCTGTATGAAATTGTGCGGATGGTATAACAAACTCGTGACTATGGTAAGAACTCGTTTGTAATAACCATCTTACCGCAGTAATATCATAAATAAAATTTTGAAGCAGATATCTTCAACCGGTTGAGCTGAAATTTTGTAAATACACGTTTTGATTAAAAAGCACGGTTAGCTGTGTGACGTCATTCTAAATACAACATGGCGGAATAGTTATTTTTAATGCATTCCTACGATATGGGTATATGGGCTTGCGGAGAATCTTTACATATAAAATATTTACAATCACAAAACTAGAAAGAAACTCAATTATGTAGATGAAATTAAAATACTGTAGGCGGGCAGCCCTACCGCGTGTTAACGTACCGCTCGGCCGTAGGCATTTATTTTAAGGACAGGGCCGAGTCACAATACTGTATAGATAATATTACCGTGACTATACTACATATCAGACAACCTCGAATGTCTCCCGCAAACCCAAAGTAAGAAAAACATCTCCACGATAGTATTTAAAGAATAGTTCGCCTTTGTTAAGCAAGACACGATTAAAGGCTCAAACGAAATTATAAATGAAGTTTTTGGTGTGATAATCCTAGCACAATCTCTGCGCGTACCGATCGAAGACGGCTAGTAGAGGCACAGTTGTTTGGGCGAGTAACGAGGAAGATACCCATGTTGACATCATATCATAGAGAGCCTCGATTAGCGTTTGCAAGGAAATATCAAGATTGGACAGAGAATCAGTGAAAAAGTTTACTTTTTCCGACACAACCAAAATTAATAGACTATGCTCTGACGGCAAGCAGTACGTACGCCGCCCTGTGAATAAGGCATTCGACCCTTAATATACGAAAAAGACCGTGAAGCATGGCGGTGGAAATATTAAGATTTGGGGTTGCTTTTCTTACTTACTAGGCTTAAGCAAGGTAACATGGACCAGAGTCAATACAAATATGTAGATACTCGAAAAATGTATGTTGCCATATGCGGATGATAATCTTCCGGTAATTTGGAGATTCCAGCACGATAAGGACCCGAAGCATACGGCACTCTCTGTAAAAAGATACTTCGACAGTCAACCGGAGATACTGAACAGCCCAGATCTTAATCCGATCGAACATCTTTGGTACCAAGTGAAAAAGAAACTATCAAACAGACAGTGCGGTAACATTAATGAGCTGTACGACTCGTTTATGGAATATTGAAATAAATTTGTCAGTTGAAACCTGCCAAAAGTTGATAGCGTCGATGCCGCGCCGCTGCGCTGTCATGCTGTTATCCACAGTCAAGGATATGCCACTAAATATTAAATTACATATATTTTTTTAATTAATTACAATACTACAGCATTTTAATAATTATTAGTGTAATAGTCGAATTATTAAATTATTGTTAAACATTTTACTAAGTTTTTCTCTCGTTTTATATTTTTTATATAATTTCTATTGTTTATTTTCTCATTAAGTTTAAAGTGTTTCATAGGCAGACGTGGCCTGCGGCTGCGGCCTCCTATGTGTATTTCTGTAACCACCACGACCCCGGCCGCGGCCGCGGGCGGCGTCTGTCTGTGAGACACTTAATATTGAATGTGTGTATTGATGGTTGTATATCATGCAAGATTGTCAAACCTATTCCCTTACACTCTTACTCCCATCCTTTAAACCTTTTATTTATTTTCTGTTTCGTTTCCTTTTCTCTCCTCTTTTTTCGCCTCTCACTATTATTAAACCGTCCTCTCCTCTCCCTGTCTTTCCCACCCATTCGACCTCCCTGGCTGCATCTCGACGAGGCCTCGGATTCTGATGGGGCTACTCTACCAACTATCGAATCCTCTACATCACAATTATGTTATATTCATCAACTTAAAATGTAATAAGTGTTAAAAAAAATTGTCCATCCGTTCTTACGAAAGCAATATTTAAACGACAGTAAATTAAACAGTAGTAATACGTTTCCTAATTTCTTTTTCCAATATGTTAGTCTTCTAAAGGTATTAAATGACAGTATAACCAATATTGATCAAGAAGTTATACTTTTATGGTATGAACAATGGAATTTTAAAATGTAGTATTTGCTAGAAGCGTTTTTAATTATATGACCACCACAGTATATTTTTAGTATAATCAGCTAAATTGTGTTATGGGATTAAAATAGCAGCATATAAAACGATTACTGATACCTTTTAACGTTCTTGAGAAATCCAAACTAGGTACAATTATTTGAATTTATGGCTGAAAAATAGCGAAAATACAGTACGCTTAATTTTTTCAGGTTTCGTAGTGTAGGTACTATTTATTTAAAGTGACAATAAAAATATCTAAAATAAAAATAGGTGCTTACATTTAAGAATTCATTTTATGAAGAGACATTATTTTTTCGTTTCCTTATTTTTTGATGTCCACTACAAGCAGTATTAATTAATGTAGACAGAAATTAATATACATTAAGAGTGAGGTGTAAATAGGAGCGCCGACATTTTTAATCCAATAACTATTTTATCTATTTCCATTATTGTTCAACAATAACTAATCACAATCTCAAAATCACAACAGAAGTTAAACAACTAAACACTTTTATCATCTAAGCTCCACGTGGTTATAAGATAGAAATCATAACATAGCTGTTTTTATAATGCTCCATCTTATACAAATTGTAAACTTTCTTATTAGTACTCTTTATTGCAGAAAAAAACATTAGCATCTTATTCTTTTTAGGAATATATAAATACCAACATTGATTGTATTTCATAAATTAGCTTTGATAGAGAGATTTTTAAAAGCTATCAAGAAGTTAAGTAAGTCTACAGAATCGTTCTATATCAAAATAATTATTATATCACGTTAACACATAGTCAATTCATTAAATAACTTCTTGATTTCCTTTGTAAGTAAGTACATACATCAAAAAATAAAATATCACTATAATGATGATAATGTAAAGTCGAGTCTGATCGGTACTCTCTTCCTCGATAACATCTATTTATCAACTTCATTCTAGATTGATAGAAAACTTAAAGCTTCAATTTCCTATAAAAATACAATATTACAATAGAAAACTTCTTGACTAATAAGTACTTTTTATTCAAGTAATCTAAACGTTGTTTTCAACCGTTTTTTAGTAAAGTTCCAAAATCATGCTCGTTTTTCTTAAATCCTATTTTAGCAATAGCAACCTTACATTGTATTTTTTTAAATATCAGCTTTAGACAAGGCTACAACTGGAATTGCTGGATTTGTGTCTGACATGGGGGTTCCCAAAAGCGCCACAGCACTGATGATGGTTCACATTTTTCGAATGGTGATGCCCATGTGGTTGCACATTGCTCTGTAACGACTGACACTTTTCCTTGACGGATTCTTTCTGCGGTTGCTTAGTGCAGGACTTCTGGTAACCGGGTGCTATCTTGGCTTTGAACCTGCCTACTTTTCCAGGCTTTATCTGTGACGTCTCGACCGTTTCAGATATTGTGCAAATGTGGGGTTTCATATTCATTTCAGCGTCTTGGTATTCGATGTCTGTTTCTGTAAAGATGGGTTTAAATAATAAAGCAGTAAATCTTTACTTTGCGGTAGGTATGCCTAATAAATTGGTACGAAATAGAGTACAATTCTCTGTTTTATGGCACGGTTGGCTACTCTAGAGACTTGCAAAGCCAAAAAAAAAAATATACACAAATGAAAAGCCATTTAAAATGCTACGCACCGAGTTGCTGGCAGTTGTGTAGCATAGTGGCAGAGTCTGGCCTCAGCGTGGCGCACGAGTCGTGAACGCGCGCCGGCGCCGAGTGCGCGGGCGACAGGCGACTGAGGCACTGTCGCAAACACAATGTCTCATCATCTATCTATTGTTGTATGTCATGTTTCCTTACAAGCATTAAACTGCACTAGTCGTGCACACACGTCAGCGGCGATTGAGTGGGCGACAGGCGGCTGAAGCACTGTCGCAAATACAATGTCTCATCATCTACCTATTGTTGTATGTCATATTATTATGATACAAGCATTAAACTGCCCGAGTTGTGCACGCGAGCCAGCGGCGAGTACGCGCAGGCCAGGCGGCTGAGGCACTGTCGCAAACACAATATCCCATCATCTATGTATTGTTGTATGTCATACTATCATACAAGCATTAAACTGCACGAGTCGTGCACACACGCCAGCGGCGATTGAGTGGGCGACAGGCGGCTGAAGCACTGTCGCAAATACAATGTCTCATCATCTACCTATTGTTGTATGTCATATTGTTATGATACAAGCATTAAACTGCCCGAGTTGTGCACGCGAGCCAGCGGCGAGTACGCGCAGGCCAGGCGGCTGAGGCACTGTCGCAAACACAATATCCCATCATCTATGTATTGTTGTATGTTATACTATCATACAAGCATTAAACTGCACGAGTCGTGCAAGTGTGCCGGCGGCGAGTGCGCGGGCGAAAGGCGGCAATTTTATTTAAGTAATAAGCTTTTATTTCTCATTAAAGGTTTTATGACAAAACTTATATAAAACTAGCTGACTTGGCGAACTTCGTACCGCCCAAAAGTAATAATTTGCAATAAATTAAAATTGCGACTATAATTTGAGATTTAAACTATCCTATCTCTCAAGTTGGATCGAACTGCACATGGTGTGCGAATTTTATTATAATCGGTTCAGTGGTTTAGGAGTCCATTGAGGACAAACATTGTGACACGAGATTTATATATATTAAGATTGCTTATCTTAAGCTATATAAAATTGGTTATTTTTCACTGTAATTAGTACACAGAAATAATGAAACTGCTCAAAAAATTGTCTTAGCGCACTTGCCGGCTTTCGATAGCTAGATTTTTTGCCTCGTGCATTGTTAGATAATATTAAGAGAAACAATTTATCAGTCCATTTGTTAAAGGGGATATCAATTAAAATAATACACAGGAATGTTTTGGCAGAAATAGAGGTACCGACCTGTAAAATTTTAATATATAACATTATTAAATAAGACAGAGACAGACGTAGTGCACGTTGGGCGCCACTTTTTTAACCTACGAAAGAACAATGGCCAGATTTCTATATGAGCTGGATTTGACTTTTCTTTTTGATGTCCCTTAATAAACTATAGTGAGAATGGTTTGTTTTTATGTTGTAAATACTATCCCATTTGAAAATCTTATATAAATAGCCACGATTTTTTAAAATATCGCCACTAATACTTTTGAGGTTAGAATCAACAAGTACCTTTTACCCGACTGCGGCGAAGACCAAAATGTAGTAGCGAAAAGCAAAGAGGGTAATTGGCGATCTCATAGCTATTTTATTCGATGCCTCATAGAAAAAAAATAGGACTGAACTAAAATATTATGGGGCATTTTTCTGGCTGTGCTGGCTAAAGAGTAAGGCGTTATACGAGACTAGATACTTGCTATCTTTCACTCACTGACTAATCGAGTTGAAGTAATAATGGTACCCATCATAAGGTAATAATGGTGGGTATGGGGATAAATGAAAGATAAGTCTTGACAAAAATATTATTTAGTTATCAGTCCGTAAATCAATGCCAAGGTCAAAAGAACAGAAGGTACTCCAAAATAGTACAATCACAATAATTCACAACAACAATCTTAGCGAATGCGTTAGCACAGAATGATCACTGTCACTGTGTGTCAGTCAATCGATGGCGCCGATCGATGACATTATAACGTTCCGTTATATGCATAAACCGAGCAATTAAACAAAAAGCTCATACTCAATTTGTACTTACTTAATTACTTTTATGATAAAAGTTCTTTAAATACCTAATAACACACAAGTATTTAGAAAAAGAAATAATTTATACATAGTCTATGAATATTAAATCATTTCATGTGCGAGATTAATCGTCAATGGGTGCGTTCTGAACATGTTATTCCAAATAATTTCAAATAAATAACCAAAATACAAACTTTAAAAATAAGTGATTTTTTGATCTATATGGCATCATCGTTTCCTGATCATTTACGATTTGGCCATCCTTCTTTAAAATCTGAATTCAACTTGGATTGCTAACAATTAATTGCATTTACTTACTACTGTTTCTAGAAAGCTGTCTTCTTCTCGTTCAATTGCTACAGGCGCTGTTCCTACTCTGCAAGGTGACGTTGAACTGTAACTAAATTCGAATAAAGCGTAATTACTAACTTATCAAATTTCATTAAAGAAAAAGTTTTTTTTATGAATTAGATAACACGCTTTATAAAATAGTTGTTATGTGCAATACAAATATCTATATATACCAAAACGATGATTCCAGGCTATCTGCTTTTGCTTGATCAACAGATTCTGCATCAGTCCAAACGACACCAAAACTCGTGGAATTAGATCTGGAGGAATCTGAAAAAAAAGTATTAACATAATCTAAAATGTAGTTTTCAATAGGGAATTTCCATAATTAAAATTTTGCTTTCAATTACCTTCATATACACCCTTTTCTTTTTCTGCCCTGTTAGGCGAATTCGCTATACTTCTCCGGGCAACATCTTGGAAGGTGACAGGGGAATATATCCGTCTTTCTTCCACTGGTGACGTCACAGTAGGCGCGGGGGTGTTAGCTCTCTGGCCTTGGGGACTTCTGACTGTGCCGCTATGTGGTATCATTATAACACCACAGTTCTTCTGTAAAGAGTTAGGCCCTGAATTTACTATGGCGTTAGGTAGCTGGTATGTAATGGATTCTTTGTTGTTCATTTGAGCGGCTGAATGTTCGGCAATACTGTCTCTGACGTCAGCAGCTCGTTCCCACTCTAGTTCTGTTCCCGGTTGGAGTTGAGGTGATATGACTTTAGTGAGAGAAGGTCTCGACTCCCTACCCTCCAACCAGTAAGTTTTCATTGCACCTGAAATAAAATATAAAGCATTTTTTTAAAACCTAATAAAGTTTGGGGAATTACTGCGGGTTTTCATGTTTTTACACTTTGATTTTCATTGTTCAATTCATCAACGCAGTATAAGATATTTATAGAATTAGGAAAGTCTATATGTGCTACAACGAAATTACCTTTTATACCCATAGGTATATATATGTTGTTTGAAGCTTCTTTGAAATCTTCACTTTTGATTACATTCTTACCTTTCCCTTTGACCTGTATTTCACCTCTCTCTATAGCCATGTACGTGGGTGAAAGCAGTTCCCTCGTCGTTTGAGATATGTGAATTCTCATCGCTTCTGAAGTGGACTCCATCCTTGACGCTGTGTTTACAGAATCTCCGAACAAACAGTAACGCGGCATTTTCAGACCCACAATTCCGGCTACCACTGCACCGGAATGCACTCCTACTCTGATTGATAAATGGGACCCTAGAAAATAAAGGTCAGACAGGAATTAAAATTTCAAAATAAAGTGAAGATCTAAGAGATAAAGGATCTTAATTAATCAAATATTCCACTGCCCTCAGATACAAAGAAAAAAAAATGTGTTCTTATGGTGTGTCAGAATAATAATTATAGACAGATGTTATAGAAATTGATACAGGATAAACTGAACTAAAAAGAATAGTATCACAAATTTCATTTAAAATATACTTGACTATAGATAATTGATTCTTAGAAAAAAAAGATACTTTTTTTTCTAAGAATCAATAAGAAAACATACTTTAATTTCTCAGAGGAAATCAGGCAAACCATTATCCTCTTCTTAACAAATGATGTATTATTTTTTTATGCAAGCAATTGCTATTTTTTGGATTGTAGCTTTTAAATTATCATTATTATTAGTATGAGTAATAAAACATTTCGCTTTATTACCTGTGCTAGGGTCTTTAAGGTCAGTGATTGCGTCCACCATATCGAGGGCCATGTCGCACACTTTTTCAGCGTGGTTGTCTTCTTTCTCAGGAGCTCCAGATACCACCATATAAGCGTCACCTATTGTTTCCACCTGCATTATCACAGGATATATTTAATTTTATTTTATTAGAAATTTATAGTGGTAGGGAAGTCCAAGTAGGGATGTTTGAATTTACTCGAGCGCGGCAGATTAACATAAAGGGGGCAACCTTGCAACTTGTGAAGTACTCGCAGCACAAAAAAAATTCAACACACGGCCATGACTTTTGGTTGCGTCCAAACTGTCTCAGTATTTTGAATATGAGGTACTGGAGGATTCAAGTAACATTCCTTCTCAATGTCTGACGAGCTCGATATTTTTTGAAGTTATACTTCTTTAGCCGCGTTATGAAAAAATTATGAGGGTGAAATTTTAAGATGCGCGCGCATCACTGTAACACAAAAGTAACATAATGAAGTTAGCCGCGGGCGCGTTATGAAAAAATGATAGAGTGAAATTTTAAGATGCGCGCGCATCACTGTAACACAATAGTAACACCATGAAGTTGGCCGCGGGCGCGTTATGAATGTTAGTGTCTAATAATGGTGGATCATTAACCACTTAGTGGTTAATCCACCATTATTAGACATCTGTTCGAAAGGTACTTTGAACGATCCACGGAGCTCCATAAGATGATCGCGTTGTCAAAAACAATGTTGGCACGCTCGTCGCCTCTGATCACTGTTTTTATATTTATAATATTTATCCACATGTTTCTAGTTTCTATATAGACACAACGTGTTTTAGTTACTTACAAGTGCTAATTACATATGGACTAATAACTTAAATTCACTAGTGATTTTAATTGAATATTTTAAATATTTATTTAATTTTTCAAATTAAAACTGAACTTAATTGACTGTGTTAACTATCCTTTTCCAGTATAAATATTTTTAATGATGCTAAAGAAGTATAACTTCTCACGCGCGTACATAAGTTACACGCATCCATTTTTTTTCCCCTATATTCTGTCCTCCTGGTACTACCACCCTCAATACATGCAAACCAGCAGATCTATATTTATTCTGTCCTCAGAACGGTTACGTGAACCCTCCAGTAGCTTCTGTTCAAAAGGCTGACGATTTCGACGCGATCAAAACTCATGGCGTCTTTTTGCTACCCTACATGTTCGGCCCTGCATAGAGGGCTCAGGTATGGTGGGAAGACTTCACAAGGTGCAAGATTGCTGCGTGGCAGATTTATATATGGGGATATGTTAATCTGCCGCGCTTGAGAAAATCCAAAAATCCTCGCATTAGCTGCCCTACTAGTGTGTTACACATTTCTATACTCATTTTTTAGCTTAGATTTTGGGATATCTCCAAAGAAAGATGTCAAATTCTGACTAACTTGTGCGTTGGTAAATAATTATGTTTTATGAAGTCGCAAACTTATTTTTCAGGCTTAATTCATTTATTTTATCTAATTAAATGGTCAAGTCTTATGGTCAGGTTCATAAATCAAACCTCTAGTAAAAGAAAAGCTTAAGGTTCATTCAGAAAGCGGGCGGAGCGGGACGGCAACGCGACGCTGGCGCGATATAAACAGTTGTAATCAGTGGCGGACTAACAGGGGGGCGCAAGGGGCGGCCCGCCCCGGGCCTCCGATCTTGGGGGGCCGCCAAATGCCACCGCGACGACTTTTTACGAGGTACTAATATTTTTTTAACTTTGCTGAACGCATCCAATACGCTGGGGTTCCCGTCTTTGTAGCGGGTGCTTCCTCAGGAATCCCCGAATGAACGATGTGCAAATAATTCACTCTTGTACGCCTACATTTACATTCACTGGATTCTATTTACGTCAAAAAATAAACATCGGCCTCATAAAAATATAGGTAATAATTTTATTACGTTGATATTCATTAGTGTGTTCCGATATTTTCATAAACGAAGGCTTTTTTCGAATTGTAAAGTAATAAACGCGATCTTATCCGTTCATAGTAATTTAATTAAAAAGTGTAATAGTGGTTTTTGATTTTGTTGCGGTATAAAAGTAAATGAGTTCAGAGTTGAGTTAGTGCATTTTAGAGTATTTGGAAAAAGTAAAAAAGTTCAAGATCCAAAAAAAGCAAATCTAGATACAAGATCAGGAACAAGCCTGCTCTTGCCGGCTGTTTGTGATTTTACCTTTCTAACCTGTATACAATTCTGGCTTTCTTTACTGGAAGAAGTAAATTAAGTTCAAAGTAGAAGAAGAAGGAAGAAGTAATTTAACAATATTTGCAGTCTCCAAAAATTACTCTGGAATCAGGAATCACCACACTAAACGCCGTGAATGAGTATTTAGTGACCGAACGAACGATTGTAGACAATGCTTAACTTTAGACATAAAAAATGCAACGACATGGACATCAACATCGAGAAACGAGCAAGAAGGAAGGTAAAAAGAACGATGCTGGGTGAATCAGCTCATGATGCTGGATTATCAATTGAAGAAGAAATACGTCGGTCAATGTATGAATGCATTGACCGATTCATACAAGAATTATCGACACGATACAGGACCATGAAACAAATCAATAATGTTTTCCAAAATATGGAAACAAAGATTATGCTAGAAGCTTCAGATGACGCTCTGACTGTAGCAGTTGATAATTTGTTACAAAGTTATGGTGAATTTGACAAGGAGCAAGTTTCCCAATAAAAAGGTACCGGAGGCATGTAAAAGCCACTGATATGAGTATGGATGTTGCTGCAAAATGGAGCGCCTAAGAAATCCTTCAATTTATAATAAAATGGGACTTCAGTGAATCGTTACCCTGTATATCACTTATACTTCAATATTTCTTGACCATTTGCATCTCGGTTGCATCATGCGAGAGAAGTTTTTCGAAACTTAAACTAATTAAATATTATCTTCGATCTAAAATAAGTCAAGAGCGACTGGTTAGTATAGCCGTGCTTTTTAAGCACGAAAAAAAGAAAATTTCCAAAGAAATCGCTTACACAGAAGTTATTGAGAAGTTCAGTAAATTAAAGGCACGAAAACACATATAACACACTACAAAATATAAAAAACTATCTTTAATTTATTTTGTCTATTGTTTTTTTTTGTCGATCAATTCGTATTTTATTTTCTCAACCATATCCATTCCATATTCTAGGTATGTATTTTTATTTAGCCGAATTAATTTAATTCGAATTTAAATTTCACTTGCCAGATTTTAAACTAAACGAAACGAAACACCTAAACATAAGAAACTACATTTTTTTAGCTGGAGGCCTCATTCAGCTTTCGCGCCCTGGGCCTCTGACTGGCTTAGTCCGCCACTGGTTGTAATGTATCTGTTATTAAAAAATTCGTCACCCAGCACCACTCGCCAGCGCGCCAGCGTCGCGTTGCGGTCCCGCCCCGCCCGCTGTCTGTCTGAAACCTTTATTCTGGTTACGTATCCTAACAATAGTTGTTAGTTAAAACTAAAAATATATGTAGGCTACTAAGTACCTAATAGAACTAACTCTTATTGGTGATTGAATATACATAAAAGCTTTCCTCGATTCAGCTTACCTTATAAACCCGGTTCCGTTCAGTGAGAGTATCAAATATAGAGTACATAGCATTCAGCATGGAGACCACCTCCATGGGAGTGATCCGAGAGCAGATCTCCGTGAAGGTCACCACGTCTGAGAATAGGATTGAGACGCTGTCGAACATCTGTAAATAAATTGTGAATATAAGAATAACTTCAAATTAAACAAATAAATATTTCTAATACACGCCAATAAGCGTATCTCCAAAACAAGCACTGTAAGGCTTGTGTTAAGGGATAAAAGGGTATTGGATAAAAATAAGGTATAAATGCTCGTATTCGTCGTACAAAAATTTGCCTTACCGGGATTTGAATCCAGGAGTTCTAGGTACGCGACACCTTGAAAATATATCACTCCGCTGCTAAGGTTGTTCAAATTCAAAATTTGTCTTCAGAATAAAAAAATTCGGAACCGAGCAGATTACAGCTTAGAAGAAATTAGTTGATGAGAAAACCAAAATATTTCATAGTTTTTGCACTTCTGATAAAATTGCTGCACAGCACACTGCACACGCACCACTATTTATTCTTAATAAATGTGATGGAAAGTTTTTGCGTAAAAATATTTTAAATATATCATCTAATAAAGAATTCGTACTTATCTCTTTAATTGCACAAATTCGAGAAATCAGTGTAGTACTTAGTTTAATTTTAATTTCATAACTGGTCTACATATTTGAATTCCATTCAAGTCCCAGTTTACAAATGTTTGGATGTTTGTTACCCAATAACTCTAAAAGCTTGTATCAGATCGTTTCTTTGAAAAAAAGATATGTAATCATCATTACATGCTCATCTAAATTTGTAAAAAATAGAGTTTATAAATTCCGGCGCCACACAAAATAATTCATTACCGAATGTAAAAGGATATAAATGGGTCGATAAATGCTAAGGATAATTATATTGCTTTCAAAGGGAAGTCCTACTTAAGCTCCAAATCGTTTGACCTTTGTATCGATTGGGGTTTTTTACACTTTTCATAATACCTCAACACAAATAAAATTAAGATTTGACAATCGGTATTCTAATAACTAAACAAAAACAAAATTAATGAGCTTTACTGAACTCATCTGTTTATACATTTCAATGATAAGGGGGTTTCTAAACTTAGCCCTCAACCCTTTCTAAACTATTTTATGTAGGTACGCTTATTACAAAAGCGATTTCAACTTTGAAATGTGAATTAATTTCAGATCGGTTTGAATCAATTCAATAGTGGGTAAGTATTTGTTTAATTTAGGAACCTTTCTAGGCCTACTTTTCTAATTACGTACTTCATTATTATATTTTATTTAGTGCAGATGATCAGAGTTATTGTAAGTTTGTTGGTGTTCATGTGTAGAATATTAATTTAAAAATTAAGAATGTTTTTCAATTGCTTTGCAGCATGTTATTTACTATTTCGGTAATTTCTTGTATTAAAAATAGTAGGCGTATAGTTTATAGTACGGAATAGATTATAAGTTTATTCTATTCCACATTGCTTTCGATAACGTTCTCAAATTACAACAAAGACGTCATCATAAAATATTATGGGAAATGTATTGTTGAAATTGTTCGACACTCATAAAATTTGTGCCACGCCCTTCTAACCATTTCTTTATTTATTACGTGGTTTGCAGAATATTTGTATTATTTGGTTAAATACCGAATCTTATATTAACTATGACAACGTGAAATGTAATCATTTATTCTTTCATGAGGTTCACAATCTACACTAATTTTATAAAGAGGAAAGATTTAGGTATAAATCTTTCCTCTTTATAAAAACATGTGAAAACATTTGACATGTGAAAAGATGAAATCGGTCCAGTAGATTTTGCTACTGGACCGATTTCAAAAATGTTTTCACCATTAGAATGGTACATTATCTTTGGGTAAGCTTATTTTATCTTTTTAAAATAAAGTGCAAAGCCAAGACGGATCGCTAGTCTGTAATTTAAGTAATTTAAGTGATTGCACTTCACCTCACAAGTGTCGATAGGGTTCTCGCCATTCCTTAGCCTGTCTGCCACTTGTTTCGGTATCATCTGATATAAGAGCTCATCCGTTCTCTTCATCTCTTCGTCTAGTTTCCTCATGGACTCCTCTAGTTTCTTGCTTTTCTGCTGCTCCTGGTCTAACGCTAGTTTTAACTCCACAGACTGTTGGGTACCAGCTAGCATTAAGTCTCTGAAAAATATCGAAATAAATTTAAAACACTTATCCAATAATTTTGTGTAAGTGATCAGATCTTTGTAAGTTCCTGGCGGTCAACAACCGCAAACCTATAACAACGTTGCAATAAAAAATAATCACTATCAAGCGCGGTCCTCGCTTACAAATTACTTAGTTGGAAATGAAATGAAAGTTTATTTACATGAAACATAGTTTGTCAAGGTTGCTAAAAGAAATATACAGTTCCATGTGTTTCGCCCTTGGGAGAGTATGCAAAGACAAATTTTAAAAGCAATTAGCAAAAGGACAAACCATTTGATGGTTTACCATCTTTTAGAGCCAGGGAAATAATTTCTCACTACCTACCTGATGTGTGAGTTAATAAATAATAGGTATTTAGATGAGAAGATAGCTGTTACTCAATTTACAGTATGCTTTATTTGATGATTATCTTTTTGCAATGTATTGTTTTTTCTAATCCGATAACAGGATTCCAACTTTAACACCTCTTGTTATAATGTGTTGTATTGTGGTGTAGCAGTTCGCCCTTTTAGCTTATTACTTTAGAGTAGGTTATTACTTTACCATATCTTCTAAAAAAGTTTTCAGTATCTTTAATGTGTTTGTCACTTACCTGCTGAAATCGTGCATAGACAAGTCGTTGATGTAGAGCCCAGTGGAGACTAGTGCCGCTAGATCTGGCATCACCGGGGTACCCAAGTACATCATCATACGCCAGTTGTCCATGTAAATCATTTGACCTGGAAACACATTTGTGAAAATTTTATCTACGACATTTATTTTTGTTATTATATTTAAATACGAAAGTCATCAACCCATCTGTGAAAGTTTAGTCCCACTTTAAATAAAGGTAAGGCAAAGCGGATTTCCCGATTGAATTGGAGCTCCCATCTGGGCATTATACTTTCACCTTACAGAAGAATATAGTGAAATAAATACATTTTAGTGAGGTTGTGTTTACGTGGTAGATAATGGGGTTTTACGAAGCCACGGGTTAATGATACTATTGTATCTTAAGTTATAGTGGCCGATTACCATCAGGTGGGCCATATGCTGATTTGCGAAGCTTTACAGACTGTATCAACCACTAGGGTGTGGACCTTACCGTTCTAATCATTTTATCTGCATCTAGTGGAGTTCTACCGATTTTACTCATTACCGGAACACCCAACTACAGAATTAGAATCGAATTAAGTTACAGTCTATTGTAAGGTGGAGTTTAAACAATAAGTCCGTAGAAACAAATTAGATCGATCGAGATTTTACTACAGATATTCAGTAAATATTTAGTGGTAAAACAAAATTAATTTCGTTAGAGATAAGTTGGACATGTGAAAAAACAGACAGTCCAGATGTTGCTGGACTCGTGGGAAATAAAAATCTATGGACAGATACTTTTTTCGATACCTACTACACAGACGAACAGCGGTCTGCTGCAATTCTTTCTGAGCAAAGTGCTTTATTTAATACCGTCCCCTTCAAGGTTACAGCTACAGCTCAAATAATAGATATTTATTATCATACTTATTTACAAAAAATAAGAAGGTGCTTTTTGAATTAAAAAGTGCACAAAAGGGGTGGGAAAACTGTTGCTATTCGGTAATAATATAAAACTATTTCTAATTTTATTTGCTAAAAGTGAAAAGTCAGCAGTGGGTTTTTTGTACTATTATAAAAAAATGTTTGTTTTGTTTTTGTGTATTTCAGTGCTGACAATGGGTAAAGTGCAGTGGTAAAAAGCTGTAAATATGTAATTATCTACATCAAAGTAATAATCTAGTGCATTTTGCTATCTCGTCCTTTCGTGTCTTATCAATCGCACAATATTCATTACACTAAAATTTATAATACAAAAGTAAACTGAATTGTGATACATAGATTTTGTGATCTCTCTCACACTCAGTCTTTTAAATGGTTCGAAAGAGAGATTATGTGTAATATAAAAGCTGCGATTTCTACAAATTCTACCTTTCAGATGTAAATTTATAATATCAGGCAACCTTCTTCCGTCGTAAGCATATCGCTTCTTTGGTGGCATGCCTGTAAAAATTAAACTAGATAGTCTATTTGCCTTGTCTTTAAGTGTTTTTAATATAATAGTGGGAAGGAAACTTTAAGGTCCTCATAGATTATGTCAGGTAACTATTAATAAAAAAAAAACAATCATACACAAATAACCCTATCCCCAAATTAAGTAGAACAAAGCTTGTGTTATATAGAATATTATGGTAACAGAGAATAAGAGGTACATAGACAAGTATATTATTGTTTAAATATATACCTATAGAATAGAGCCATTATGGAGTCTCCAAACATATATCGTATCGTATGTCCCTACCGGAATTCGAACCCAAGAAAAGCCAAATTATTAAAATAAAATTACGTAACATTTTCAAACTAGTTAATTCCTCGCTTCAACTTGGTGTAAACTATAGTGTTTGTATTTACATAAAAATCAAAAGCGTAATTTTTATTGAAAAGGGTAAGTCTATAGATGCGTGCTAGTCTCAGGTCAATCCAATAGACATTGTGTGCATAATTGTAAGACAAAGGCTTCGATCAACAATACCATGATTGAAGGATAAAGGCAAAGTAATCAAACATGTTTTTTTCCGTGATATAAATTATGTATTCGTATTTTTTATGTATTATGCAAGTATACCTTTAAATAACAATGTCTTTTAGTGAAAAAATCCGATAAAAGCTGTTAGTTTCATTTTTATCAATTAAATATTTTTGTCACCAAAGCAAGTTTTCAATTACTTGAGTGAGCTTTTGACGCCTAAGTACCTAGGTATTCTATATGTATACTAGCGGCCGCCCGAGACGTCGTCCGCGTTAAGTTAGTTTTTTTTTAAAACACACAGGAACTTAACATTTGTCTAGGATAAAAAGTATTATATATCTCAATCCAGGTCTTAAACTATATACGTCCTAATTTTCATCCTAATCAATTCAGTAGTTTTTGAGTAATTGGGTAACAAAGATTCAAATATACAAACTTCCATATTTATTATATTTGTAGGATGTACATAGGTAGGTAACTAGTTAGAGACTTTCCAAAATTATTTGTTTTTAATTTCCAAGACGATAAAAAATATATAAGTATAGATTAAGTATTGTGACTGTTACTCATTTTAACAATACTGTGGCTTTCGTGCCCCTAATCCTATCCTTCTAACTATGATTTCTGATTCTACTAACTCTTAATAAACTTATTAAATAAAAATTTATGTATAAATAATTTAATGACGAAGTTTCAATAAACCCTTACACTAATAACGAAATGTTATTTTGATGTTAAGGTATGCCATAAGTTTAAATTTTAGATGGAGTTTTCAAAGTTCGTACCTACTTAATGGAAAGCTTAGCAAGCTTTGTTCTAGCTAGATAGTTGATTATGATTAAGATGTTTGTAGGTACTTAGGTAATTATACATTTCTCAGATAATGCGCATATAAACTGTGTGATCCATGCCTATTTTAGTTAAACCGTGACCTTAATAAAGCTGTTGGGATTATAAGGCTATCCATCTATGTAAGTATCTATTCAGACACAGCTGTTGTGTTAAACTCTTGTGTATTGTATTTAAAGCCTTTAAGTATCCTTGTGTAGCGTGCGATGACCTATGTATAGAAGGCAATTTGCAAGCGAAGTAAAATCGTAGACAATACCTACCTTTGTGTACGAACTTTTTTGTAAAGATAGATTATAAAAGTTTGTCAATAGATCAGACAGGTAATTTCAAAAATATTTCCGGAAACGTCTAGAACTTAGTAAATAGCGAATGGAATTATAAATTAACGGTAGCACTTATATAAAATTGTTTCATTTAGTCAACACGTGTTGTCTTATTCTGTTGTTTTGTGAAAGTGATAGACAATAAAAAAACGGAACAGGATGAAACCCATAACACAAGGAAGAAAACACATTAAAATATAATGTCAGATAATATTTGAAAAAATTAAAGCGCGTTTAGGACATTAGAAAGCAAGTTTTCACTACATTTCATTTTTTGTGGGAGATAAAAATAAAAAACCAAAATGACGGTTATTTTGATTTCTTTTTGTTTCGCAGATTTGATTATGTGAAAAATTTTCAATACAAAAGGTAAGGTCCCTTGAGGCAATAGTAGCTAGGGGTCAAATGTATCTGGATCAAATAACTCGTTACTGTTTCTTTTATAAATTATGTTACATTTGTGGCTCTGCAGAGTAACCTTTACTGACCTTCATTTAAATAGATTTAGCTATTAGCACTTAAACTGATTTTATATAGAGTCGTATATTATTCCGCTATTTTTTCACAAGCTAGTAGACCGCGGTCAATAATATTTCCAAATATTTCTTTTCGCAATATTGCAAGTTGTTTTACAATGTGTCGTGAAATTATTAACAAATAGTAATTTTTAATTAATTTGTTTTATCCTAAGCGTTGCCCCTTCAAAAATTATGAATAGGCTAGTTGACCCTTTTTGGAAAAAGGTTTTAAATGGTTAATAAATGTTCTATTAGACCGAAAAAAAAGTATTGTATTTTTTTTTAAACCTAGAAAGCTACAAATCTTTAATTTTAAAATAGACTTTTCATGGACATACAAAAACGCTGTCGGCCATTTTAGTCTATAGATTGTCTATGCTATGACGTGAACTGTGGTAAACAAAAACTCGTAAACACGTAGAAAATTACTTTTAACTGAGTTTATAATAAAAAAAAACATGATTTCTAATAAATACCACGAAAAATAAAGTAATTATCATTACTGTATTGTACGAGAATATAAAAACACATCCTTGAAGACTCCAGGAAAGTTGTGGATTAAAGTGCCGAAAGAAATTAACCTACGCAACTTTATTACACTTATTCATATGTTGTATCAGTTTTATGTTTATTACTACATTGTAATACTAAATGCACGGTACTTACATAGATGCCTTGTCGTTTCTCTGCTCCGCAGAGCAGAAATCGGGGTTTAGTGCAACAAATTCACCAACCATCAATGCGTCAATTCTTGGCAGATTTGTGCTTTCTGATTTCACAAAGCCGGCATCCATAATTTGTTTAGTCAAAAAAAACTAAGTTTACTGTTTTTTTCCTTTCCTAAAGTTAAAAGTGTTTTAAGATAAATTTAGTCAGACGAAAGAATCCACCTACAGTAACACGCGAATGACATTTAGTTGTTTACCACAAGAGACGTCAAAATCATGGCGAATGTGGCGAACAGCGTTTTTAGTGTTTAAAAAATATAGACTAAAAAATATTTTTTAAAATTAAATTTCTACAGCAATCTTCTGCTTTTATGAAGTGAAATCGATATATTTAAGGTTTCTTAGACTAAACACTTTAAGAAATAAACATTTATTTAATACAATTCGACATGAGTAAACTAGCCTATTGGATAATAGGCTAGTTGACTCATGTCAAATTGCACTATACAAATGTTTATTTCTTATAATGTTTGGTATGAGGAACCTAAATACATTGATTTCACTTCTTATAATTAGAAGATGGCTGTAGTAATTTAATTTGAAAAATGTTTTTTTAGTCTATGCTTTTTAAACACTCAAAACGCTGTCCACCATGATTGTGACGTCAACAAATTAGTAAACAACTAAAGGTCATTGTCGTGTTACTGAGGTGTCTTTCGTCGGACTAAAGTATATCTAAAAAACCTACATCTCGTAGAAAAAAATCCGTTTATTGGTTTTGTTGATTTGTGCAAGAAGAAAAGGCAAAACTCTTTGACTTAGGAGGTACATTCATAACCTTAAAAATTGTATTTTTAAACTTTGAATATTATTCAATGAGAACTCACATTAAAGTGATCTTTCCTAAAAGAAATAACTTTCAGACGGTAAAATTACAGGATTTAGCAAGTTTTAAACATAACTGTGTTCATGACGTGTAGTATGTGTATTTCTCTAGACAATTTAAACCACAATTTTTGTGAAACCTTTAACGATGTGTTTCTACATTCTCGTATAATACAATCATGATAATTATTATATTTATCATGAAATCTATTAGAAATCATGGTATAATTATATAAATTTAGATTCAGGTTATTTCCTACGTGCTTCCGAATGTTTATTAACGATTTTGTTGACGTCTTCCGAAAACGGCCGACAGCGTTATTGTATGTCCATGAAAATGTATTTTAAAATTAAAGTTTTGTAGTTTACTAGGTCAAAATAAAATACAATTCATTTATTTTCAGTCTAATAGAACAATAACCATTTAAAACATATTTCCAAAAAGTGTCAAGTAGCCTATTGTACCTGTTTTGTTATATAATATGGTAATAAAACAACACTAGTGTTTAGAAGTAGTTTAACTCAACATACTACTTACTACTACTATTTAATCAAATGTTGCAAAAGTCAAAACATTAATAAACATATTGAACAACATGTTCCAACACATAGAAATAGATACATTACAGAGCATTGAAGCACTAAATTAGTTAAATTTCGTTGGATCTGTTGTTTACTGTTAGTTTGAGAATTATAGATACAACAACAAAGATATATAGAGGGTTAGCTAGCTACATTTACCCCAGGTTGGGGCTAAACGTGTCTATATTCGGCTTAAAGATATAATATTTTCAATTTAAAACTAATTTTATTTGGCAAATTCTATTAATAACGTAAAAATATTAAAGTCAAATATTGTTTAAAAATAAAATTAAGTAGCTACAATTGCCCCGGTTTACCTTTGTTTATTTGATTACCTATAATTTTGTCTTAGAAATGTTTTCTATAGAAGTAATAGTTTCCCGAAAATATACCTTACCCGACCTCAAACAGCATGCAATTTATTTTTCCTCTTTTTTTAATGTGTTCCTTAAGTTTGGTTTCACACCCAGTTCTGAATATTTTCACTTTTTACGAGTTTCAAAGGCATCCGACCTTGTTTTAGGCCAGACAAAGTTCAAAATTCATTGTAATTTAAAAGATATAATTGACGTCTTCGTGTGCAGCTCTTAGGATTACACTATTATTATAAACTCGATATAAATTAAGAAGTAGGGAAGGGTAGTTAAGTACCTATTTCAAACGTGGAGGAGGCGAAATAAACGCATACTCCAGTCAGGCGCAAAATATGTAGATACATTATGCGTGGCACCCCCCCAATAAAAATCAAAAAAGATATTTTAACCTATTTGTTTTCTTTAGACTGAAGAATATTGTCGACTGTTTATATAGACTAAACTAACCTAGGATAGTCATTCAAGTAAGTAAGAAAAAATAAGACTGCCTAATACTTAATAAAGGTGGTTTTTACTCATTATATTATATTTGTGTTAGTAGTAGTGTTGAACATACTGACCTTTGAGCCTAAGGTTCTTCTCTGTGGTGCCGTCCGATTCATCGGACAGTCGAACTAGTTCGTTTCTCTTATCAGGAGCCTTCTCATGCATCACTGCCTCCACGGTAACCAGCTCGAAGATGTTGTTAGTGCGGTTCAAGATCTATAACAAGTATCGAAACATATCACCTCTTGTAAAAAGGTTTATAAGAGGTGCACACGAAGAACAAAAGTGGATTTGCCGGTTTTGAACACCCGCCTTAGTGATCGGCACGACCTCAGCTTGTACCGTTAAAGGTACTTTGTATGAAATTCTATGCTGTTATTCTATTGCACACTGATCAACATGGGGTTGTATAGCATAGGAAGTTGCAACCCGCTAACGAACCACAAGTGCCAAGAAAACTACAGGTATATCAAGGTATTAAGGGACCTTTACGAAAACGCCACTATGTCAGTCCGATTACAGAACCAGAACTCTAATCCTATCCAACTGCAGCGAGGCATGATACAGGGAGATGTGATATCTCTAAAACTGTTCAACGCTGCATTAGACGATATTTTCTGGATTGGAAAGGACGAGGCATCAACATTAATGGCGAGTACCTTTCGCACCTTCGTTTCACAGATGATGTAATTTCGTTAATTCTGCAACACAGTTTTTGTAAAACTAAAGCAGTTTTAACGATTCATAATTTTATGTACATTGCACTTGTTCCAAATAAAGTTATTATTATTATTATTATTATAATTCTTATGGCTGAGATCTTGGAAGATCGTAACATGATGCTCGAAGACCGTAGTAGTGCTTTCCAAAGAGTGGGTTTTAACATTATGTCGAATGCCCATGTAGTACCCGCTTCAGTTAAATTGGAAACACTACACTCGTAGTTGTCGACCGTTACGTTTACCTAGGACAGACAGTCCAGTTAGGTAAGTCCAACTTTGAAAAAGAGATCTCTCTCCGAGATGGATAAGACCAGCTCGGATGGGCAGCGTTTGGGAAGCTACGGAAAATTTTCGCGTTCAAATTACCTCAGTGTCTCAAGACAAGTCTTTGACCGGTGTGTGTTGCCAGTGATAACCTACGGAAGCGAGACGTGGTCATTTACTGCGAGTCTCATAAGAAGGCTCAATGTCACACAGCGAGCAATGGAGAGAGCGATGCTCGTTATGCTCGTAGGGGGCTACGCGATAGAAGCAGAAATGGGAAATCCGTAGGAGAACCAAAGTAACCGATATCGCTCGAAGGATTTGTCTGCTGAAGTGGCAGTGGACGGGACACGTAGCATTCAGAACCGATGGCCGTTGGGGCGGAAAGGTTCTAGAATTGCGACCACGCATCGGACGACGCTCAGTGGGCAGGCTCCCTATAAGGTGGACAGACGATCTTGTGAAGTCGCGGGAAACTGATGGATGCGAGTGGCGCAGGATCGATCGGTGAGGAGATCCTTGGGGGAGGCCTGTGCTTCGCAGTGGGCGTCGTACGGCTGACATGATGAACGGATCACACTCTACGAGCGGTCAATTATAATCGGTAGCCGCGCTTAGAAAGGTACGACTCTTCTGCAATTAATCTGCTAAGTTAAAATAATATTTGTATATCAAGCAATGGTGTTTCAGTAGTTTTCATTTTTATTACTAAAACACAAAATCTTAAATATATTGATATATATTCGTTTGTTAATATTATCTGTATGTAGGTATGCATTCGAGGTCTTGTTTGTAACCAAACAAGAATTCATGTATCTATATATATCGTATAAAATCAGATTTTAAAAAATTGTATCTCCTATCTCTAAAATGGTATTGCGTACTTACAGTTTGGAATTTAAAGGCGATTAGTGGTCGGACCAAGTCGAACCAGTTGGTGATCTTCTTGCCGACCAAGTCTGGCAGGATCACCATCAAGGAGTTCCCGATGCTGCGCACCACCATGTCTGATCTGAAAATGTGTATACAGGTGTACTAAACAATGGGACAGCTGCTGATAAATACACTTTGAAACTTTCGCGTTTGCAATATGAATATAACATTCAGCGGTCTAAAACGCGTAACTTTAATAAAGGATTTTCGTACTCTCTTTTAAGTTACTCCGTGACCACTACCCACGACCGATGTAAACTGGTCGTAACGTCGGGATAAAGAGGGTACGAAATCTTTTATTAAAGTTACGTTGAATTATATTATAGAATTAAAATATTAAGATGGGATTTTGTTTTGTCTATCGTAATTACAGCGAAATTACAATATAAGTACATCTCTAAACTAATTCATAACGGAGTTTGGAAGTATTGATACCCTCAACTATATACCTAATTCATAAAGGAATTTGAAGATTTTCATATAGAGTTAATCGACTTTAATTACCTACGTGTCAAATCGTTATTAAGTAAGTACAAAATGAAAATACTTTAAGTAACTTTTATCATGATATATAACTCATTTATATAAAAGAAACTAACTGTGAAACTTAAGCTGTTAATAACTTCAAAACTATTTCTTTTATAAGTGTACTTATTTATATTAGGCTCAACCAGTTCAAACTAGTTTCTCCTATTCCTATCAGTTATGCTGTGTCTTTTTTTTGGTTTAGCCATTTATTAATTGGTTTAGCCTAGAAAAAACTAATTTGTCTTAAAATCGGTTTCGGTTAAACACACTCATTCATTCCGATCTGAGCCTGAGCTATTTACAGTTACGTATAATAATTTTTAACGGGTTTTATTGGATTTTATTCTTGATCTGGTTTGACCTGTACTCCACCACGGCGCCTGAAAATCTGCAAAATTATGAGTAATAGCAAGCGATAGTTTAAAGGGTGCGGTTAGTTAAATACACATTTCTCAATCATGAATTTAATACGTTAGAGAAAGTCAATGTTATAGAAGGATATATAAACTTCAAAGACGGGTATTGAATTGTTAAATAATGTATTTAACCTTTGAGTCAGATAACTGAAATGTTTGGATATAATTAAGCTTAATCTCCATTATACGGGATTAATTCCTACTACGTAACTACTAAAAGCTGTAAATTGCTATCTTAAATGGAGATGGTTAATTTGTTAAATGAATCTCACCCATAATGTGGTCAGACTGAGATATTAAATTAACAGACAAACGTTTCGTTAATACCAGAAAGTAAGTACCTAAGTAACAACTTACTGTTCATTTAAATTTCGTACCTACTCTTTCAGGATTTATATAAAATCGGGGCACTTGTCTTCCTACTACGATAATGGTAACTTGAAATTAGAAAAAAGAGAAAATCTTAAGAGAAGTCATCATGATTGTTCATTCCGTACAATAAATCAAATGTTTGATACACATATAAAGCTTATGAAATTCTATGCTGTTAGTCTATTGCGCACTGATCAGCATGGTAACGTGTTGTATAGCTAGGGCTGCCATCTCGAAAATGTGGCAACCAGGATAAGACGCGTGATAACCCCGGATTTTGGAGCCCAGAACCCGGACAGACCAATAAAAAAAACAGTTAAATATGTGTTAATCCAATAAAATTCCAGTAACATCTCAATCTCGGACAAAAGTCTGTCTTTACACCCATCTTCTTCCATCCGAGGGATGTTTGACCGGCCAGTGTAAAAAGTTTCAGTGCTGTCATCCACATAGCAACGAATGCTGTTATTGCGGACAGTGTAGGCGACAAAGCAGATCTTTGTTGGAAGTCAGCATTTATGGTTACAGTGTTAGAATAGATTTATTTATTTTCAAAGACATATAAATTGACGGATTAATTGGCGACCCAAAACAGGAATTTTTTAAACCCGGACTTCAAATGAAACCCCGCCCGGACGCTCCCCGGACGCCCCGTAAACTAGGACAAATCCGGGGAAACCCGGACGGATGGTAGCCCTATGTATAGCTTAGGAAGTTGCAACCCGCTAACGACAACAAGTGCCAAGAAAACTACAGGTATGTCGAGGTATTAAGGTACCTTTACGAAAACGCTACTATGTCAGTCCGTTAACAGAACCAAAGCTCTTGTGGCAGTTACTTTTTAAGTTGGTTCCTTATTTTCTAACTGTAAGGTAGCCTGGGATTAGCTTTCATTGGAATAGAAGTTGGCAACTTATCTTAGGCGCCATAAGTACATGTTACACCTAAAAGTCAGTAAGTAGTCTGATCTACTTACCCAAACACTATGCAAAACGGGAATATCTCGAAGAGTACGGACGCACTGATCGGCAGATGTTTTTCTTCCCTGGTCATCGCGAGTGATGCGAGTGTGAAAGCCCTGTTGTCAAAAGTCAACTGGAATGTCACGTGAACCGTGTCGAATAGGAGCTCCTCCCTCAGGAGTTCTATCCTCATCTCCTTGTGGTAGAAGTGGCGGGCTACCTAGGAACAAACCTAGAATAAATTATTGTAGAATGCAAGCATTTATTTTTTAAGTTTACAAAAAAAAAGTTGCTTACAGCGTTACTTTTTTGTTTTTAATGGACAGAATATTAACTTATACCGTAAAATTAATACTATAACACTAGTAATACTTATACTTAATTAAAAAGGAAGTAAGTTAAGTTCCTAAAGGATTCATATATCTAACTATAAAATTCGCACGCTGCGCATCGCTAGCTACGCACTGTGAATTTCCTACCTCATATGAAAATCATTAAAAAAAAGAAAACATTATGTCCATCCTTAATTTTGTTTTTTGTAAGACAAAATATAAGAAAGTTTCTAATAACAAGTTTGTTTACTAGCAACATCTATGATAAAACATACAAAACATCAATGTTCCAAGCAATGCCAGCGCCATCTAGTACAACATAGGAATATAATGAAGTAAAAACATCGGCCTTGTCCTTCAAAAAGCGTGCTTTACCAACCTACCTAAACAAAATTCGAAATGGAAATAATGATAGGAAAAAAAGGTAAATAAATAATTTACAGGTGGGAGAATGCACTGTACCACAGTATATAATATACTGTGACTGTAGTGTTGCAGTAGGTAATATTTACTCTGAGGCACACATAGTGTGTACTTACATACCTTATCGGATAAATTAGGTCGACGAAAATAACTAAGTACCTACATACATACCTAGTTACTTGCGAAAATTTGGAATAAATATTGATATTTTATTTTACAAAATTAAAACAAGTACATAACAATTTATACATCCGCTATAAGGGTGAAGCCAAGTGAGTTTTTTTTTTTTTTAGTTGTGAGTCGCGTAATTACTGGATATTGATTCACACCGCGACGCAAAATGAGACAGGACTTTTCTATGAAATCGGATGCAGCTAGAATTACACGACTCTCAACTTAAAAATTTACTCGACTCGTTTGGTTTTGGGCAGAGAATATAGGTAATTATACACTACGCGAATTTTGGGTTAGTTTTTTCCTGGCTTCACCTAGTATTATACTGGTAACTCTATTGTAATTTATTCCATAATTTCACATACATCGGCAACGGGGGCGTAGCTCAGATGGTAGAGCGCTCGCTTAGCATGCGAGAGGTACCGGGATCGATACCCGGCGCCTCCACGTTAGGACTTTTTTCTTGACTTGAACTATACACTCATATTATGTTTTTATCACATTAGTAATTCAAAAAGAACTACTACGTTTGTTCTACGTTAACAGGGAATAAAATAGCGTTATTATCCTTAGGGGGAGACTAAAAGTGATTTGAATTTTGAATGTGGATATTTTAAGGGTTCCAATCACCAGAGAGATCAATCACGAAAATTCACAGACTGTCATTATAAAAAACCAACTTCGCACTTGCCATATAAAAAAAGATTAAAAAAAAAACACGCGGAATAGATATATTCTCCGCCTTCGCTTTGCTCCCTTATATAACAAAAAAATATCTCAGAATGATATTGGGTTTTCTTAAATACTTAGATGATAAACAGTAGAATAAGGCAGACGAAATCAAAACTAGATGGGTAGGGTAGGTAAGGTACTAACCTCTCTGATTTGTCCCATGGCGTAATATACGAATCCACGCCTTTTCGATCTGTAATGCAACGTTAAGCCCTGTCGTGTTTCGTTTTCACAGATGAAGCTAGGCGCTCGCATTCTTGGATAGCTGAACTTGAGGTATTCGTGAAGATTATCCAAGCCGTTGAGGAAGTCCCTCATGTGTCTGCCGAGTACTGAGAGCACCCTGTCATATCCATACTGGGACACGAAGCCGACGAAATAAACGCCCATTTGGTCCATAAATTCTCGTTCTGATATGCCAAGTACCTGTGGAAAAATGTATTCCTTTATTCCCACTAGTTCTGTAGACAGAACTAATGGGAATTTTAATCCCACTAGTTCTGTGGAATTTCCAGTAGTTCGGGTGAGATTTAATAAGGATTTCATGTATTAAGTGTGTTCAAAGTACTGACTACTATTGACCATTTCATATTATCATGCCTAAATCATGAATTAAGATGTCAGTATACTGAAAGTTGTTTGAATTGTAATCATTAAAATTGTTTTGGTCATAGGTAGGTAGGTACTGGTTAGGGAAGCTGATATATTCCCAACGTTAAGATTGGAGTGGAATATCTGCTCCCAACCCACCTTCACACGGATCGGTGACTATAATTAAAAAATAAACAATAGTTCCTACTCTTACTGGCTGATATACACTTCTGGACACATCTATTGGCCCACCTTAGGTTTAGATGGCCCCTACCGAAATATGATTGCTAGATTGAATAAAAACTGTTGATGCAGTTTTAAACCTGATACATTTTACCATCTTTTTCGATCGTATTGTTTTAAATTTGAATTCAGAATACCATACGACATGGAGCTACGCCTAACAAGTCGGATATGCGCCTTGTTAAAGGCAATTGATTTTTGAATAAAAAACATGTTTTATCAAATAAAGGTTTAATTTAATAACGCGTGTTGCCTCCATTAGCATCTACCACAGCTCTCATACGATTAGGTATAGAGTTTATCAACCGCTCTATGAAATTTTGAGAGATCATCTCCCATTCCTCTTCTATGGCAGTTTTCAACTCCTGCATCGTCTGGGCAACTGGCTGACGAGCCCTAACACGTCTTTTTAGCTCGTCCCACATGTGCTCAATGGGGTTCATGTCTGGGCTTCTGGCTGGCCAGTCCATAACTGTGATGTTCACATCCCGAAGATATTCCCTGACGATGCCGGCCGCATGGCCTCTTGCATTATCATGCATAAAAAGGAAATTTGGGCCCACATAGTCCGCGTATGGTATCACGTTAGGTTCTAAGCACTCACGAATGTACCTTTCAGCATTTTCATGTTGGCAGCCGTGGTCCTGTAACAACCTTAAGTTGAGTTTTGCCGCTCGCGGATATGCCGGCCCAGACAGTCCATGAGTCACCGCCATAAGCAACCCTCTCTTCAAAGCAGCATTGTGCGAAACGCTCTCCCTTACGTCGGTAGACCTTCTTCCTTCTATCATTGCCATATAACACAATTTTAGACTCATCAGAAAAGAGTACACGGCTCCAATCTTGCTGTGTCCAATTTAAATGACTGCGTGCAAAATGAAGGCGCGCTGTTCGGTGGGCTCGCGTTAGTTTGGGCCCATTAGCTGGCTTGTGTGGTACCATATCGCGTTCTTTTAACCTTCTCCGAACAGTTCGAGCGCTTACAGATACTCCGTGGAAGTCGCGAATTTGTTTTTGTATCTCAATGGAGGTAAGGTGACGATTTCTCAAGCTGGTCGTCACGATGAATCGATCCTGCCTTTCAGTTGTGACCCGAGATCGTGGCCTTCCTTGGCGACGAACAAAGCCGCCAGTCTCTAGGTACCTCCGATAAACATTTCGGACCGCAGATCGACTTAAATTAAGTTGAGCACTCACGTTTCTTTGGCTGTGTCCGGCCTGAATAAGTGCCACAGCTTGGGCGGCGACTTCAGGTGAAGTATCCATAGATTATTGATAGAACCTAACCTTAGTAAACCAATAAAACCAAGTTTTCTTAGTATTCGATTGTTTGATATCAACAAACAGGCTCCAAATTGTCTTTTGTTTCTTTAAATTCTGTGTTCGAAATTCAAAAAAAGACTATTGAATGAAATTGTGAATGTGCCAGGTTCAAAACTGCATAAAAACTATTTGCTCGACCTAATATAAAATTTTAGCTAGGACCAAAAGAAACTGAAAATACAAGGTGGGCCAATAGATGTGTCCAGAAGTGTATTTGAAGTCGATACCATTATGGCAACATATGGCTTTGTATCGACTTCAAATATATCAGTCAGTAAATCTTATTTTAACAGACTTCATTTTCTGTTGTTTTGAAGTCGGTTTTATTTTTAATTAATAATTATTTTATTTTTCCATTTTTAGTGTAACACGAAATAGTGTATTTCGGTACTGGTTGGAAATTACACACAGGTATGTCGATAGAAAAATCGCGCTTACCGCGCTCTCTTCCAATCGATCCATGAACCGTGGAAACCGTGGGACACTGCTAGTATATTATATTAACAAACCTTCCTTGACTAATATGGATTTATATACTGACAACCAACAAGATCAGTAGTTTTTGAAAAAATCGTGTCCAAACATGCATACAGGGCAAACTGAGAACAACTTTTTTAATGAATTTAGTATCCGCTATGTAAGCTAGGAAATAAACATAAATTTCGCCATTTGGCACATCGGGGGTGTAACTCAGTGGTAGAGTGTCTGCTTCGCATGCTGAAAGTCCTGGGTTCAAATCCCAGCACCTCCAAAGTTTCCCTTTTTATTTTTCATAATTAAATAATGTCTTTCTGTGTTTTGCTTTTTAAGTCTTGACTATTTCTTATAGTCCTAAAATAAATATGAAAAATGATTTTCGGCATCATTATTGTATTTATTTTTGGTTTCTTTATCTATTATTTGTATCGCTTAAGATAATTTTATTTAACTTTAAGAAAATAATTCTTCCAATTATTATTTATGTGAAATTGTGGTAAAACTAATACTCTTAAAAATAAAAACATCGTGTAAAATAATTTAGATTGGATAAAAAAAAAGATTCTTTGGCCCATGAGGGGATCGAAACCGCGACCTTCGCGTTATTAGCACGACGCTCTAACCAACTGAGCTAATGGGCCATTGGTGCACATGTCTAAATTAAGCTTTAGCGTGTACAAACAAACATGTTATTTTCAAACGGTTGAATTTAAGGGGAAAGTGCTATTACTTTTCCCATAAAGGAACTATTAGGTGCCCGCGACTTCGTCTGCGTGGAAAAATTGATTTTCCATACAAACATCCACCACCCTTTTCACCACTCACATTATTTCTGGGATAAAAACCAGTGGCGTAGCATAGGTCACAAGCACCCGGTGCGGATTCCAAATTTGCCGCCCTCTTATTTTTGCAATCCATTATAAAAAAATTGAGGCATGGTAAAAGCATCACCCATGCATAGAACCTGCATAGGTACCTGGGTATTTGGTAACAACAACAAAAAAATGACGAAAAAAAACTGAAAGAAATTAACTTTTTTTTATATTTTAATTTTTTTTCTCTATCTGCCACCTCCGCAGCGCCGCCCCCGGCAAAGTGCCGCCCGGTGCGGACCACCCCCCCCCCCCCCCCCACGCTACGCCACTGATAAAAACTTTTAACGCGACTCAAACTAGGTACCTATCTCTATAATATCGTTGATCTATCCAAAGGTATAAGACAGACACACTTCTGCATTTATGATACTTGTATGGATATATGGATAATTGTGGGTGCCCGTGACTTCACCTGCGTGAAAATATATAGATTCTCATAATAACTTCAACTCCCCTTTTTACGCTCTAACTAAAGGATATTTTTTAGGATAAAACCATCCTATTTTTTACCCTGCACCCCTAGCATTCCCAACCGAAACGGGATAATTACGATAAAGCGATATATCTATTCTAATCGGTTTAGCAGTTTAAGCGCGATAAATAATAGATAGACAGACAGACAGATACACTTTTTTAACATTATAACATTAGTATGTATGGATGGGTAACGTTATTAATAATAAGGTAATTTGATCACCATTCACAAGCCATTCACGGTTAAAATGCTATAAGCTGCGGCTGAATCAAAAAATGAAATGCGCCAGAAATTAATAGTCGTTAACAAAAAAATAAATTTATAGAATTAGAAATCTGCCTTTGACATAAAACAAAGACCTACTTGTGTTATTAACATATTACTTCTGTAAGAAAACGCTGTTCATATAACTTTACGAAAAGTGATTCGATAAAGTTTTCAATAGACACGTTATTTGAAGTTACAAAATGCTTTCCATCATATTTCCATCAGTATTGTGATCTCGGTGTTGTTACATTAACGTCAATCGTAACTTTTAACTGTGTCACGGTAATATTATCTATAATATTACCGTGACTGTGTTTTACTAGCGTCATGGGAAATGTCATGTTCACTGTACGTGCACCTAAATAATTACGCGTGTCAGAGACATATGGCGGTACTGTTGGGTCCTTTGTTTACCCTTGATTTGACCCTTTTTGGATCCTATTGAATTATGCACGGTTTTCAAATTACTACGCCATAAAATTGTTTTTGTTCAATATTTATAGAGCCGATAGCGATTATTGTTGTTTTGGTTAGGTAAATAGATGAATATTGATTTCACATAGTAAAGTACTAAGAGTATATAGGAGGAGCTGGCGAATAGGGATGATGACGGGGTACAGTAAACGAAATTCTATTTAGTCCGTCAGTTAGATGATCAAAAAATAATGGACACGTATTTTTTCTTTGGGCAATCAACCAAAAAATGACAAAGTTATAGCGCGTCAAAGTTTGGGAGTAGGGGCTCGTGACGTCACGTTTGAGTACACTTATTAGTGAAATTTCAAAATTATTTGAGAGTCAAATTCAACGGGCCCGAGACCTCCGGACTGTAAAAAAAATGTAGTTTGACCAGATGCGTAATTATACCGTTTTGTTCGCTAGCTCCTCATTATGTTAAAGTAAGTTTGTTTGTTTGTTCAGCACTCATCATGCTGAACAAATTAAGTGACATGCTGCACACACGCACACACACATGCACCAGGTTATTGTGTCCGATTCATAAAGCCTGATATTAGAACTATTCAGAGCTTAATAAAGGTGCTTTCAATGACTAATAGTATCCACTGAATACTGCCGCTCAACTGATCCTAGGACATCGCTATATAAGCGAGATTTTACTTCTTAGGCGTTTTTATTCTAAAGCAGTGCAGTTAGACAGAAATTATTATATCAAG